TAATTTTTAAACTCTTTTTTTTTTGGACAGAAAGTCACACTTTGTTGCCAGGCTAGAGTGAGTGCCGTGGCAGTCAGCATAGCTCACAGCAACTTCAATCTCTGGGCTCACAATCCTTGTGCCTCAGCTCCAGTGGCGGGATATCAGGCATGGACAACAGCCGGCTAATTTTTTTAATTCATTTTAGTTGCCAATTAATTTCTTCTATTTATAGTAGAGATGGGTTCGGCCTTTGCTCAGGCTGGCTTCGAACTCTCTTAACTCGAGCAATCCGACTGCCTCGGCTCCAGGTGCTAAGATGAAACGTGTGCCTTGGCCTAGCGTTTTAAATCTCTTAAAGTAAAATTAAGTTAATAAACCTTTTAAAAATCATCGATATAAATTAAAATAAAAATTCACATAGAAAAAATAATTAATATCTGCCTAAGAAAATAAACCTCTACTTTACCATTTCTCAAACTGGTCCATTTCTGTTTCTCTCTCTTCATCCAGAGTCAAGCTTAGGATCTTCTGCTATCTAAAGTAGGCTAGCTAAGAAAAGTCACCATTTTCCCATTCTTAGAAATCACAGAAAGAGTTCATTCTTTGAATATTATTGAGCAATGGGATTAGAGACTTAAGTGAAGTTATAAATACTATGAAACTTTATAATAAAATTTTGGAATAGAAAGCAACTCCCAGTTCTTCTAGAATCAATTTTCATGACCCAAGTGATATAATTATAGCCCAGGGAGGCCTGCTAAATTCGAATATATAACTCAGGATAGAAAAGAAATAGTATTATCCCATTACTGATGACAAAAAACTCCTATGTACGTGGTTAATAGTGAAATTTTCAAAACACGAATATAAAGTAAAAAAACTTATAATAGGACTGTGTGCTATATATGTCAATTAAGTGCTTCAATTACTATGTTTATTGAGAAATGTCACTTTTCTATTTGTTTTCTTCTCCTAGATAATATAGCTATCTTCTAATGTATAGAGCGTAATTGGTTATCCTGAATTGACCATATGATCTCAAGAAAAAGATCATCGAATTATCATGAAATAAATTGTTTCCTTTCTGAAATTATTAGAATTAATTTATTATTTGATGTTTATCTGGATGGATTACTAAAAAAATTTGGTTTTGGTTTGTTTGAGCATGGTTTGTGTTGTGGAGTGTGGTGTCATTAGTTGCAATTCTTCAGTCAGCCCCCCTCCCTGTGTATGGATACTTGGCATCAAGTACCATGCTGGCTAGTTTTTCTTTTATTTAATAGATGGGTCTCACTGTATTGTTCAGGCTGTCTTGAATCTCCTGGCTCGTGACTCCTCTCAATTCAAAGTGCTTGGCAGTCAGGCATGGCCACCTCTGCCTAAATAATTAAGTTCCGTAATTCTGACATTGCTAGTTCAAAGATTAACTGAGTTGAAAGTAAACGGATTGACTCTTTTAAGCTGCAATATTCTATTAAAAATAGGCACAAATTTTAAAAATTATCATGGATATGGCCAAATTCAATTTCTTAAAAGGCAATACTATTGAATTTGGCACCTATTATGTTTTTCACTATTAAAGACTTCTTGGTTGGTTGGGCGTTGTCTCCTCTGGGACTGTTGTTGTGTGATTGTGCTGCAGGTTTCGAAACCATGGCCGTGGCTAAGACTCGCTTAAATAGAGAAATTGGCAACTAGTAATTATACAAAAAATTAGCCGGCTTTATGGTGGACTTATGCTGTTGTCCCGCTATTCAGGGTGAGGCATGCGGGTTGGAACTAGGAGATGAGGTTTGTGAGTATGGTTGTGCCTATGGCATGTTCTAGCCTGCAAAGGTGCCGTCAAAAGAAAATAAAAAGATCTGCTTTTTTAAAAGTTAAACATAGACTGCCATTATGCATACTCCTTAGGTTATATACAGAGAATAGAAAAGAGAATCAAGATATTTGTTGAGTTTCTTGCAGTATTAGTTCCTGCCAAAAGCTGGAAACAGCAAGTGTCGTCATGTAGGATTAATGTGGGTGATGATGTAATATGTAATATACAAAAAGGATTTTATTCAGTCATAAAATATGATATAAGTTGAACTGCTACAAGCAGGATTGTGTAACATTCAAAACACCTTTTTTGTTTAGATATGTAGGACAACCATAAAATGTTCGCCTTACTTGAAATATTAGAATAAGCAATCGCAGCGATAAATTAGTTTAGAGGTTACAGCTGGAAAGAGAAGATGGGAGTTATTGCTTGAATGGGTTGCAAATTTTTAGGATGATGGAAAATTTTGGAAATAGGTAGTGGTAGAATGATTGCACACCTCATGAATGTATAAGCCAACTGGAAGTATATTTGAAATGGTTTAAAATAGATATTCGATGTATAAATATTTAAACAATTTTTAAAAGACACCTTTGTTTTCTAGCAAAAGATGTAGATCCTTTTACTTGCTAAAGCACTATAATTTTTCAGACACTGTAAAGAATTTGATTACATGTATATTTACTTATAAATTTTCTCTGGTTGCACTTCAGAAATCTTGGATTTGGGTTGATTTCACGTTTGAGGTTATTCTGACTACTGCATGCTTCTCTATATTTAGTTTTCTCAGGTATCTGGATCTGAATTTAAAAGGATTAACATATATAATATTCCAAGTTATTAAGAAATATTTTTTCGTATTAACAATATTGATATTGCTTCTATGCATTCGTGAAATTCATAGAGTATCCAAAAGCTCATGTTTTTAGTCTGTCAGGCTGCTTATAAAATATAGTAAATGAGTAGTTTATAAACAACAGAATTTATTTTCAGTTTTACAGGCTTGGGAGTCCGACGATTAGGTGTCAGCAATCTGGTTTTCGGACAAGTGCATCTTCTGTTCCTCAAATTTACAGAGGGGGGTAAAAGCTCCTTGGGTTCTTTTATAAGGCACTAATACCTCATGAGGCATTCACCCTATGACCTAATCACCTTTTACGGATTCACACTTCCTAATTCAGAAAAGCTTGGGGATTAGGATTTCAGACACCGCGATGGAATTTGACACAGACACAAACTTCGACTATACATAAGTTTACATATTATAATTTTTAATTTTCCTCCCAATTCTTCCCTTATCTTTACTATCTTTAGATCATTAGCTTTAAATGCTATATTTGACTCTATCCACAAAAATTTCTTTTAAACTATGATACATTATCATTGAAATTAAATTTATTTGCATCTTTAGCAGTCCTTATATTGAAAGTTGAAACCAATGAAAAAGCTGAATGGCCAAGATAATCATAGGATCTGAAACAGGCAACTAAATCGACAACTTTTCTAAATGCAAAGGGTAAAATTTAACCCTACTATGAAATGTTCTAATTAGATTGTGCGGGTGATGGTTGTACCACTATTTTAATAAATGAAAATGGACCTGATAATACTTTAGGTTTATCTAAAAAGATGTATTAAAAGATTTTTTCATTCTGCATTAAATAAAGCATCAAAAGACGTGAAGCGACTATTCGTTGTTGGAATGAAACATAAATAAATGAATCGGTCAAGGCTGCATTATCGATTAAGGCTAATTCATTTAAAATTAATTTTTGTTTTTTTAAAGAAATAACTATGGCTTCACGCAAGGTCAAATAAAGGCTTAAGTCAAATTAATTTGTTATCTATCTCCAAGTGTCTTTCTGGTTCTCAAGTAAGCCCTTTAGTTACTTGGGATTGTCATACTGTCTTCTCATTTCTATGGCTTTTACTTAAAGTAGCAGTAGGAGATAGTGCAGGACGTTCTTATGTATTTAATAGGATTCCCAGGAATTTAACATTGTATTTTTCCCTAGTTTAGCATAAATTAAGGGAATATAAAGCAGTTTATTTCACTTAAGTGGCGCCACGTATCCATACTAAGTTTAGCATGAGTAGTTCTAATTTTTAATTTGAGGATGCAGTAGTCTTAAAATACTTAACGTTAAAGTACGAAGAAAGATGGGTTTAGAGTTTAGTAATGTGATAGGCAAGAGATTAGTTTGTAAGTTACTTGCTAAAGTCTAGGTAAAACTGTTGGGAGTGAAAAGATGTTACAGGAGGACAAACTTCTTCTATTTCTTCCTTTTTTGAACGGTTTTCTCCCTTTGTCAATATGAAGGTTTCTTCTAGTGGTTAAAATTAGGTTAATAAATGGGGAGTAAGTCAGTTGACATGACGAATGTTGCAGTTAATATTTGGCCTGGTAGTAAAAAGAAAAAAAAAAAGAATGGTGCATGAGGGGGTAGACACTTAGTTATCCTCTCATTCCTCTCTATACAAGTTAAAGAGAGACACCAGCAGGGTGAAAGCTCCTGGGGTTGCAATTGCAGTACAGGTCTACAGCGGGAGGAAGGTTATTCATGCATGTTTCTCTATACACTGGGGCATATTTCCCCAATATGTAACAAGTCCTTTCTTTGCTTCGAAACCTGGGAAAAATCTGCAGCATTAGAGATGAGGCTTTGTAGGGCACCCATGCTGGCATGTTCTAGAGCAATATGTTTTGAGCTTGATCCGTATTCTATTCATTCTAGCTATGCAACTTAGGCATTATTTTGACTTCTTTGGCCGGTATACTTGTCAAGCTTTTTGGCAGACAATAATAATCTATTACCAACTAGGATTTCCCCCCTATAGAGAAATGTCTCGTGCCCTTGCTCATGCATTAGAGGTGGTTTCTGCTTGTTAGCTGGTTTTTTGACTGGTTATATATATGAAATCTTCTAAGTCATAATTTGGGACATTAAGCAATATATTTTCGCCCCAGATTATAAAATTTTATTGCCCCATTTCGCGAAGGATGGGGAAGACGTATATATGTTTTTTGGTATATTTTGATGGGATTCTTCAATTCTTCAAGTCCAGTATCAGAATCTATGTAGCTCCACAGGCCGTTACCAGTTCTTGGTATGACCTGCGAAGACCCTATCTTTTTGATCTGGTGCTGTGCATTGTTTCTTTTTTCATGGTGACGGACTTTTGCTTTGTTTTACTTGATGTTGTTGCTTTGGGAAAGTGCGTTAACTATGCTTGCATAGGTCACAGTAACGCTGGGTCATATCAAATATTCTGGGTCCATGGAATGAATGATGGCGTCGTTTGGTGAAAACACGAAGTTGCTGTGATTACGTATACCTGGGGAGGTTGGATTGCATCACTCGAAAAATATTTTGAGAAACCTTCTGGATGTGTAGTTGTTGAAGTGGTCTCGCATTACTGAGACCAAAAAACCCCACATCTAATGACCAGTGGCTTATTATTTTCTTACATAAGAGATCTAATATTTCAAAAACATCATGACCTATAAATAAAAAGTTTAAAAAAACCTTTTATAAAGCACTGTGTACTATATAGCCAATGTGTTAAGTGCTCAATTACATACTGTTATAGAAATGGCACTTTTCTATTTGTTTTCCTCTTCTCTAGATAATATAAGCTATCTTATCTAGTATTTTATTTACTAGAAAGTTCTGTTAAATTGGTTCTTCCATGCCATAATGACCATCATGATCTCAAGGATCCAAAAGTATCATCTGAATTATCAGAGAAACATTAAATTGTGTTGCCTTTCTTGAAAATATAATAGTAATTTTCCTATATTATAATTATTTGAGAACTGCAAACTCAAACTGGTACATATGATAATACTCTATTAAAAACATTTTGGTTTTGGTTTTTTTTGAGACAGGGTCTGTCTCTGTGGCCTAGGGTAGAGTGCAGTGGTGTTATCATAGCTCATTGCAATCTCTAACTCCAAGGCTCAAGCCTTCCTCCTGTCTCAGCCTCCTGAGTAGCTAGGATGACTGGCATACAGTACCATGCTGGCTAATTTTTCTATTTTTTATATAGATGGGGTCTCACTGTATTGTTCAGGCTGTTCTTGAACTCCTGGGCTCCAGTGATCCTCCCTCCTCAACCTCTCAAAGTGCTGGCAGTACAGGCATGAGCCACCACGCCTGGCCTAAAAATATTTTTAAATTAAGTTCAGTATCTCATTTCCTGACCATGCTAGTTTTCAAAGAATTAACTGAGTTGAAAAGTAAAACAGTCTAGCACTCTTTTAAGCTGCAATATTCATATTAAAATAAGGCAAAAATTTTTAAAAATTACATGGATATGGCAAAAATATCAATTTCTTAAAAGCCAAAGATAGAATAATATTAGCCATTATTACCCAATTGGCACCTCCCCATCATCACGCCCGCCGCTCATACCTGCTTACACCTCATCCTAAAAGACTTCTTGGCTTGGCCGGGCGTGTGGCTCCACGCCTGTATTCCTCAGCCACTCATGGGAGGGCGAGCGTGTGATGCTCGAGGTCAGGAGTTCGAAACCAGCCTGAGCAAGACCCCCGCCTCTACATAAATACGAAAGAAATTATTGGCCAACTAATATATATATCAAAAATTAGCCGGGCATGTGGACATGCTTGTAGTCCCAGCTATCGGAGGTGAGGCGCAGGATTCGCTAACCTACGGGATTGAAGGTTGCTTGTAGCTAGCTGATGCCATGGCACTGCCCTGCTCTAGCCTGGGGAACAAACCGTGAGACTCTGTCTCAAACAAAAAGAAAAAAAAGACTTCTTGGCCTTTTTTTAAAAGTTAAACATAGAACTGCCATCTCCAGAATTCTAACTTAGTATATACCCCAGAAGAATATGACACACAGCAGAACTCAACAGATATTTGTATGCCAGATTTCTCTGCAGTATTATTCACAATAGCCAAAAAGCTGGAAACAATCCAAGTGTCCGTCAGCAGACAAATGGTAATAAAATGTGGGTGTGTGTGTCGTGTGTATCATAGTGCATATATATCCATACATCATACACACAAATGAGATAGTTAATTCAGCCCACACACAAGAATAAATTCTGACAAATGCTACACAGAAGAAAACCTTCAAACCACCCCGATGTTGACACACCGCTCAGACCATCAGACAATTGTATCAAGCTTTCATGGCTACTTGAAATAATCTAGAATACACAATTCATAAGATACAATAAGATAGAGGTTACCAGGGACTGGGGAAAGGAGAAGATGGGGAGTTATTGCTGAATGGGTGCAAAGTTTCTGTTTAGGATGATGGAAAAATTTTGGAAATAGGTAGTGGTAATGATTGCACAACATCATGAATGTAATTAACGCCACTGAATTATATATTTGAAAATGGTTAAAATAGCATATTCGATGTTATAAATATCTTAACACAATTTTAAAAAGACACCTTTGTCTTTCTAGCAAAAAGACTGTAGAATCCTTATTACTTAGCTAAAGCAATTAGAAATTTTCAGACACCTGTAAAAGAATTTTGATATAACATGTATATTTGAACTTACTAAATTTTCTCTAGGTTGCAACTTCAGAAATCTTGGAATTTTAGGGGTGATTTCCACTGGAGTTATTCTGACTACTGCATGCATTTCTATATTTAGTCTCTTCATCAGGTCATCTGGCATCTGAAATTTAAAAATGAATTAACAAAAATATAAATATATTCCAAGCTTAATTAAGAAATATTTTATAGTATAAATATTGATATTAGCTTCTATGCATTCAGGTGAAATTATAGAAGCTATCCCAAAAACTCATAGTTTTCATAGTCTGTTCAGGCTGCTATATCAAAATATAATAAACTGAGTAGTTTATAAACAACAGAAATTTATTTCTCACAGTTTTACAGGCTGGGAAGTCCAAGATCTAGGTGTCAGCAAATCTGGTGTCTTCATGGACAGTGCATTCTTTCTGTATCCTCACATTACAGAAGGGGTAAACAAGCTCCCTTGGGTCTCTTTTATAAGGGCACTAATCCCTTCATGAAGGCTTCACCCTCATGACCTAATCACCTTCCACAGGACTCACCTCCTAATACCAAAAGCTTGGGGATTAGGATTTCAGCACATGAATTTGAAGCAGAACACAAACATTCAGACTATAGCAACAGATATTACTATATCACAAATATTTTAATTTTCCTCCCACATTTCTTTCCTTCTGTTTACATATTCTTCAGAATTAGAGCTTTAAATGGATATATTTGACTCTATCCACAAAAATTGTCTTTTAAACTATGATACAATTACATTGAAATTAAATTTTATTTGCAATCTTTAAGCAGTCTTCATCTATGAAAGTTGAGAACCAATGAAAAAGCTGGAATGGCCAAAGATAATCATAGGCAATCTGCAACAGGCAAAACTAAATCCAGACAAAAACTTCTTCTAAAAGGCAAAGGGTAAAATTTCTCACACCTACTAATGAAAATGTTCTAAATTTAGATTGTGGTGATGGTTGTACAACTATTTTAAATAAATGAAAAATGACTGAATTATATACTTTAAGTTTTATCTCAACAAAGATGTTTAAAATTTTTCTCATCTGCTTAAATACAAGCACTCAAAAGACGTGAAGACTACTATCTCTTGGTGGAAAAAAAACATAAAATAAAAACTCTAAGGTGCATAACCTGACTTAAAAACTAATACATTTAACAATTAAATTTTCTGTTTTTTTAAAAAAATCACCATACTTCACAAGGTAATAAAGGCTTAAGTCAACATTAATTTGTTAGTCCTATCTCCAAGTGATCTTTCTGGTCTCTCAAGTCAAGCCTGTTTGAGTACCTGATTTCAACTACTGTCACTTCTCATTGCCTATGGCTCTTTAACCTTTAAAGTAGAATAGGAAGTGCAGACTTCTTACTGATATTTCAATAGGATTCCCAGGAATTTAACCATTAGTACTTTTTCAACCTATCTTCACCATAAAATTTCAAGGAAATAAAAGTATATTTCCATCTAATGGCAGACCACAGTAAATCATAATAAGTTTAGCATAGTAAGTTCTACATTTTTAATTTGAGGATGCAGTAGTATCTTTAAACTAACAGTTTAAAGCTAACAGAAAATAATGGTTTAGAGCTTTAGTAAATGATGTAGGCCAAAGAGATTAAAGCTTTGTAAGTTACTTGCATAAAAGTCATAGGTAAAACTTTGGGAGTAAAAGATATCTACAAGGGAGACAAACTTACCTTCCTATTTTTCTTCCCTTTCTTAAGAGTCTTCTCCCTTTATCAATATGAAGTTTCACTTCATAGTGGTTCAAAATTAGGTTCAAATAAATGGGGCAGGTAACTCATACTATACAAATTTAGCATTAATATTTGAGGTAAGGATGAGGGAGTAGAACACTAGTTATCCCTCTCCCTTTCCTCTCCCAGTTATACACAAGTTAAAGAGCAGACACCAGCAGGGTGAACAGCTCCTGGGTGCATTGCAGTCCAGGTGCCATCACAGGCAGCAGGAAGGTTATCTCATGCCATGTTTCTCTCCCTACACTGGGCATTTTCCCCAATATGTAACAAGTCCTTTCTTTGCTTTCAAGAACCTGGGAACAAATCTGCAAGCATTAGAGATGAAGCTTTGTAGGGCACTCCATGCTGAGCATGAATTCTAGAGCCAATATGTTTGAGCTTGAATCCTAGTTCTATCACTTACTGCTATGCAACCTTTGGCAATTAATTTTGACTTCTCTGGGCCTATACCTGTACAAGCTTATTTGGCCAGAAAATACATAATCTTTACCCAAACTAGGACTTTACCCTATAAGCAGAAATGTGTCCCCCCCCCCCACTGCCATTAGAGAGTGTTTCTTTTTTACTGGTTTTTGACTTATATATATGAAATATTCTAACTCATAATTTGGGGAAATTTAAGCAACATAAATTTTCCCCCAGATTATAAAATTTATATTCACCCAGACTTTCCCGAGATGGAGAACTTCTATGTTTTTGGTATATTTTATGGCATTCTTCAATTCTTCAAGTCCATTCCAGACTACCTGTAGCACACAGGCCTTACCAGCTTCTTGACTATGACCTGAGCTAATATCTTTTTGATCTGATGGCTGTGACATCTGCTTCTCTTTTTCAGGTGACAGGACATTTTGCTTTGTTTTACTTTGTTGTTGCTTTGGAGAAAGTAGCTTAACTAGCTTTCCATAGGTCACAGTAAAGCTGGGCTCCATATCAAAATATTCCTGGTCCCATGGAAATACATGAATGGCACAGTGTTTGTGAAACACAGAAGTTGCTGATGCATTACGTATACTGGGAGGTTGAGATTTGCATACTCTGAAAATATTGTCTAGAGGAACAACCTCTGACTGTGTATTTTTGAATGCACTGATTTCAGTTAAACCCCAGGATGTCTCTTGTTTCTTCTTAGATCCAAAAGAAAAAATGTTTCCTATCATAGCCCATAAGCCTGGTATCGATGATGAGTCAACTGGAACTTCTGACTCTGTTCCATTAGATCCAGTGACTCCCACAGTATTTGCCTGAAGTTGCTTGGTTTGAAGTTCTTTTGTCATTCCTTTTTGGTATCTTCCATAACTATGAAATTTTCCACATGCATCATCTATGTTTGAAAATGTATTCTCATCGGCTTGGCGTATCTTTGGCTGAATGAGGAGTCTGGTGTCAGTTTCCAGCCTTCCATAAGCAGCAGCTGGCATTAGTGCAACTGTGTAGAAAATAAAGTTCATGAGTGTATGTTCATCTCTACTTTGGCCTCAGTGCTACAGTGTAGAGTATGACAATAAGTACTGCAATTGCACCTACCAATTTGGATAAATATGTAAGTTTGTTGATCAACCCAAACAGGAAAAATGGCTTTTGGAAAAACTATTCGAATTTGATCTAGAAGATGCTGTTCAAGGGAAGCAGCATGCAGCTCCTAGAACCAACAGATAAAAAGATCAATTCACTTTACATTTTGTCCATTCCATGTCTAGTAAGAAAATATCAATTCATTGTTTTTTTAAAAAGTAAATTTCATTGTGTATACTTAATGTATACAACATGATGTTATGGGATACATATAGATAGTAAAAAAGTTATTAAAGTAAATTAACATATCTATCATCTCACATAGCTACCCAATTTTTTATTGTTTTATGGCAAGAACAGCTAAAATCTACTCATTTAACATGATAAATAAAGTACAATATTTTTTCTTTTTTTTTTACAGACAGGGTCTCACTCTGTGGCCTAGGATGGAGAGCAATGGTATGATCACAGCTCAGTGCACCCTCCAACTCCTTGGCTCAAGCAATCATCCTACCTCAGCCTCCTGAGTAGCTGGGACTACAGGCATGCACCAACACACTGGGATCCACAGTACAATTTTATTACCTGTAATCCTCATGTTGTACATTAGATCTCTATCAATTCGCTCTTCTAACTCAACCCAACAAAGTTCTGAGAAATCTAAAGACACTGATATTTTGAAGTAGTTTAACTTTAAAATGAGATATTTTTATCTAATTTTTTTTTTTACCAGTATCTCCCAATCATCTGCTGAGAGCGGTTCCACCTCAACTTGTTCACAAGATACCACATGGGAACACGGCTTGAGAAATACCTAGAAAAAATTAAAAATTTAAAACTAATTTTAAAAGACTTCTGTATCACTACAATATAAGAAGTTATCAAGTAAGTGAGAGTGACAGAGTGTGTGTTAGTGTGTGTAATGTATATATGTAGTCTTTCATGTGACAAATATTTCTTGTACTTAGCTAGGTTTTGATATACTCAGCATTTTAGGAAAAATTATTTCACAACCAATTATAGAATAAAGGAAAATACATCCTAGTGCAACATGTTTTTCAAAAATAAATAAAGATAATTCATTAAAAGAAAGAAATGTAAGTAAAAACTACAAGGAGAAACAGCATATCATCGAGTCATCATTTGATCTAACATGTACTCTCATTATTTCTAGATGTTTTGCAACTGTTAACTTTATAACTAACTTCTAACTAACTTCTAACTAAATTCTAACTTCTAACTAACTTCTAACTAACCAACAAGCCATGTTGCTTCTAGAAAAGTGAAAAATATATGAAATAGAGATCACAGACAATTATGTAGAAGTAAAATCTTTCACAGATAAAAGTAAAGTAAAACAAATACCATCTCACTTTAACAGATAAAAGAAATGCTAGTGTGTCTCAATAAGCTAGAGTCCACCACCGTACTTCCTTTCCCCTTTTATAGGCATTTCCATGGTTTAAGGGAGTAACATCCAAAGCCTTGGCATGTTAAATGCCATAGGTAACCAGCCCTTGCTCTTTGCTTTTGTGGACTGGAGCAGAATTTCGCTTTTGCCTCAGTCCAGACTCTTCAGTGAATTTCCCTTCAGTATTTCCCTTACCGAATAGGATGACTGATTGTGAGGAAGCATAAGGAAACTCCTGCCTGCTAGGTCCAGGGCCGAGAGGGAGATACACAAAGATACACAAAATGTAGCAAAATGCTGTATATTTTGAGCACCTGGGTGTATATGGGTGGAGGCCAAAAGAGCATCTACTATGAGGTAGGGGAAAGCCTTGGGTTTTATAGAGGGTTTTTTCTGGGGTGGGGTGGGAGGGGTTGGGAGGAAGGTGGGCAACCCCCGCAGAGATAGGGGAGGGGGTAGCGTCATCCTTATCAGGGGGATAGTAATGCCAGGCTTTGCTGCAGCCATCTGTGGTCAAAGTTAGATTTACAACCCCCTGGACTCTCTAGACTCCTGTGGCTTTTGTTTCACAGGCCTTATGATCACATACTTTTTGGGATCCCACCCGGAACAAACCTAACACTGCCCACTAAGAAACTAAGGACTCCTGGACTAGGCAGTCCATTTTCTGTTTCTACCAATGATTCTTTGGGATACAGTGTCTTGGTGGCATCACTACAATACAGGATCATTTACAGAAAGAGGTTTAATGCATATTGTTTATAATACTTGGAAAGGTATTTGATATATTTTGTGAGGTAAAAATGGCAGAAAATATGTATAATCTCATTCTTTAAATCCTAAAGATCTAGGGATATCCCAAAAAACAGTAAAAATTCATTTTGAAGCTGGGGTTGGGGAAAGGCAAAAACTCATTTTTTACTTCCAATTGTAAAATATTTATAATGAATACCTATTACTTCTATAGTTTAAAAAATTCTAAAGGAATAAATTGATGAACATAATAAAACAAAAAATAGATATAGGGCTTTAAGTTTATGAGTTTACAATCTAAGCATATTTAAATTCATAAGGGAAGAAAAAAGTGAAAAAATAATAACCCTATATAGTGGAATCGATTTGTTTTTAATCAAGTAAGACCACTGAAGGTTAGAAAATGTCAGAAACAAAGTTCAATAATAGTAAGTAAAACCCAGTAATCCATAAAGGAAAAATAACGTCAAAATCAAAATTAGAGATATAGAAAATGAGTAAAATAGTAAAATAAAAAATCAAGTAGGGAACATGGTAAACTACAAAATAATGACTTAACAAATACAGTCAACTGGAATATCCTAGACTAGTTATAATAGCATACAAGTTAGGTGTTATCTCACTGTCTTTAAAAAAGAAATCTGAACTTTTATTTTCATTGCTACATTATGTGACATTGGAAGAAAGTTATTATGTTCTTACCTGTCCTCCATTTGAGAGTCCAAGTTTCTGACCAACTTGTTGGTTAATTTCAGCCACATTTTCACCTTGGTCACTAAAATGCCTGCCTTCCACCCAGCTCAAGAATGCAGGCTGGTGACCCCAGACTACTTCTATAGCTTGATTCTATTCAATGAGAAATGGGAGGTGAAATGTTTTAAAAGTTTTTACATGACACACATTTAAAAAAACTACTATTGCAATCTGCACATATAAAAAGAGTTCTATAGATACTTGATGACTCTGTATTCACATTTGTCATAACATTGCAAAAGCTATAATCATTTCCAACACCCAACGTAGTGATGCTAATGAATAAAACCAATACCCTTATATTCTTATGAAAGCATTATAAATGGATTCAAACACTTCAGACTTCAAAATGGTAGTCACTGAACTTACACAGCCATTGAGCCATATGTAACAATTATGTAGAAGTACGTAAGTAGAAACATAACAAGATCTTTAAAAACATAATAATATATAAAAACATAGCTTTAGAATTATGAAACATCAACCAGATGGATTATGCAACCCCATATTTATTTACTTATTTATTAGAAGAGTAATAAATGTACATGTTAAAAGCACAAAAAGTACAAATGAATAAAATGTGGAGACATGTCCTTGTTCCCAGAGGTAATTACTGTTAATAGCATTGTGTGTACCTTTCCGGAAATGTTGTTATATCTTAAGCAATAATTTTAAACGTTCATAGAACTATGGAAATCTATTTATAAGTTAAAAAAAAAGCAAACTATAAAATTTATTCTCATTGAAAGAGCAAATATATAAAATATGTAAGTTTGTGGACAAGGTCTAAAAATAGTGTTTTCTATGGTTAAAATACTACAAACCCATTATAGAAATCTTGGAAAATATATAAACTTGAACAAAGAGGAATTACTGACAGTCCCTCCAGAAAAAGACAACTATGTGAACAATTTTGTCTATTTCTTACAAATCCTTTTTTCTATGTAAAAGTTAATTTTTTGCATAGCTGTATATTATAGCAACAATTTAATCATTTTTCCTTAATATTGCATCATGAGCATTTTCATACATATCTCATTTTTAATAAAAAGTAATTATGTGATTAATAGCCACCAAGAATTATCATATCAGAAAGCCAGTATTATTAAATTCATTTATTTCTATCAACATTAATTTAATTTAAAATATTAAATATCAAATTCATTCATTTACATGAAATTTTATTAGCTCAAAACTAGGTGTAGACAGCTTATGTTTCTTTTTTTGAGACAGAGTCTCACTCTGTTGCCCAGGCTAGAGTGCCGTGGCATCAGCCTAGCTCACAGCAACCTCAAACTCCTGGGCTCAAGTGATCCTTCTGCCTCAGCCTCCCGAGTAGCTGGGACTACAGGCATGTTGCACCATGCCCAGCTAATTTTTTCTATATATTTTTAGTTGGCCAATTAATTTCTTTCTATTTTTAGTAGAGATGGGGTCTCGCTCTTGCTCAGAGTTGATCTGGAACTCCTGAGCTCAAAGGATCCGCCAACCTTGGCCTCCCAGAGTGCAAGGATTACAGGCATGAGGCCACCCCGCCCAGCCTAGCTTATGTTTCTTTAAATAGGACAAATTTCAAAGGACATTGGAGTAACACTTCTGAGGCAATATAATGTACTTGAAATTAACTATATTATTAAAATTTTATGCACAAGACAGCCATCATGTATCATTTACTTGTGTAATTTTTCTAACAGTTTTCAGAGAATAGTCCATGTTATGGCTGACAAAATACTTCAACTGAGTACAGTCTGATAAAGTAGAAAGTGTCCTAGACTTGGAATCAAAAGTCCCAAGTTACTATCTCAGCTGCAACTATATGAGCTGAGGTCACGACTGTGAAGGTGACCAAGTCCCCAGATGCTTTCTATGGGGTTTCATCAGTCAGTGATATATAATCCAGATCAATTCTTCATATTTCATATGAAGAAACTTTTAAAACCAGAGACATTAAATCAGGAAATATGAAATATGCCTGAAATATCAAAAAAGAGAAGCTCACTGAAAAGGGGAAAAATCAACTTTATAAAACAGGAAAATACTTTAATTATTTATTCAGTCAAAATGTAGTAACTAGCTCCATGAAGTCATAACATGTGTTCAGTTAGATTTAGTAAACTTTGCAGACTAATGTTCTGAGTTCATTTTTATGTGAAAAACATTTTACTTGAACCACAGAGCCCCTGGCTATTCAGAGAGAGGGAAGAAACAGCTAGAAAGGAGCCTCTTTTTTTTTTTTTTAGTGATTTTTTTTTTATTTTGGCATATTATGGGCGTACAGATTTTAAGGTTTCAATAAATGCCCTTTCCCCCTCTCCCCTCACAAGTCTGAGTCTCCAGCATGACCATCCCCCAGATGGTGCACATCTCACTCATTATGTATGTATATACCGCCTCCCCCTCCCACCTGCCTCTTTTTCAAGAGTTTAATCTAATGAATAAATAAACTGACTAACTGCTCTGGTCCAAATTATGGTATCAGATACCACTGCAAAGGAAATCTTCAGGTGAAACCATAGGTTGGAATGCCTTGGGAATTCCCAGGCCTTAGAGTATCTCTCGCTAACATAAGGGAAATTAACTGTGTGGCCATATCTGGATGGCAATTTAGGTTCATTTGTTTTGATTCAATGTGGATATGAAATATTCTCCCCTGTTGGGATCACAGCAAATCCGGAGCCCAGAGTCTGGCAAGGTAACAGTTGAAGCAGTGGTTCTCAATCTGGGGTAATTCTGTCCCAATAGACATCTGGCAATGTCTGGAGACATTTTTGTTGTCGCAACTGTAAGAGGGAGGTGGCTCTGGCATCTAATGGATAGTGGCCAAGGGTGCTGTTAAACATTTTAAAATGTACAGGATTGCTTCTAAAACAAGAAATGATCCAGCTCAAAATGTCAATAGTTCCAAGGTTGAGAAATCCTGACTTAAAGCATCATGATTTCATCCAATCATGAAATAAGGATTTAGGTAAACAAGAGAAGACTATACTTGAAACACAGACTGAGTGTAACAGATGAGATTTGCCACATTGACACAATAGTGGTTTTGAAAAGGAGACAAATGTGGACAACAGAGAACTGAAATATACGTGGAGAGGGACAACTGCACTCTTTTAAAGACATTGAATTTGTACTGAAGGAGGAAAAATGTTTTAGAGAAGAAAGGCATGAGTAAGAGAACAGAAGTGGAAGGAGACTGGTTATAGAAAAAAGAGTGAGGCCCGGCACAGTGGCCCATGCCTGTAATCCTAGCACTCTGGGAGGCCGAGGTGGGCAGATCGCTCAAGGTCAGGAGTTCGAAACCAGCCTGAGCAAGAGTGAGACCCTGTCTCTACTATAAAATATAAAGAAATTAATTGGCCAACTAAAAATATATATAGAAAAAATTAGCCAGGCCAGGCATGGTGGTACATGCCTGTAGTCCCAGCAACCCGGAAGGCTGAGGCAGGAGGATCGCTTGAGCCCAGGAGTTTGAGGTTGCTATGAGCTAGGCTGACACCACGGCACCCTAGCAGGGCAACAGAGTGAGACTCTGTCTCAAAACAAAAACAAAAAAAAAGAAAGAGTGAGAAGGCTAAACTGGATTACGCAGAATAAAGTACAGACAAGATGGCAAATCAACCACATGGAAATGGTACTGGCCTAGGATTGCCAGTTCTCTTAGATAATGCCCTAGATACCTAAGGTATCTTTCCACCATTAACATTTTATGATTCAAGAACAGTGGGTCTCGGGGGCATGGGCAATATACGTAACCTTAACATTTGTACCCCCATAATATGCTGGGAAAAAAAAAAGAAAGATGAAGCTTCTGAATGAAGAAAAAAAAAAGAACAGTGGGTCTCAACTCTTCTGCATCTAAGAAGCCTTAAGATATTTTTAAAATTACAGATGCCTGAAGCCCACTCCCAAGATTCTGATTTAGTAGGTCTGAGGAAGGACCAAAACATCTGTATTTTTAAAAGCTTCAAGGTAAGTATGACACAGGTCAGAAAACTATTGTTCCAAGCCTCTTCCCACTACTGTATTACCTATAACAGTATTCAATGCTTCAGCCCAAATAAAATAATTCAACCTATTAACTCTTAACTGCTTAACTTTTCTGCTTTATCTATGCCCTCTAATCCAATCTTAAATAACCAGAAATGAAACAATGTTTTATAAACAATGGTGTGCTATTTTTAACATTTTACTAAAATGTAATTATAGTATCACTTTTGATGTCTAAAACTTGGATTTGATGTCTAAATCTAAATGGTCAATCACAGTGAACAATTAAAATTATGGCAAATTTTTGCTAGGCTACTAATTAACCAATTAAAATGATGATTACCTTTTAAAAAATAAAACGCTCATAATAACATTATATGAAAACAGCAGGACACAAAACTATATGTGTGTACGTAGGACCTCGTTTCTATTAAAGATTAGAAACAAAACTGGAAGATTTGATTTAAATTGTCAACATTAGTTATTTTTAAGTTCTGAAATTATGGGTATTTTCTCATTCATAATTTTTCTCATTCATAATTGTCCATGCTTTCCAAATTTTTTATAAAACACATATATTACTTTGATAATTGGAAAGAAAAGTTGGCATATTCTGCTGATAGAGGCTGGATCAAAACAGCAATTTTTTCCAGGGCTGAATACAATCACATTTCAAAAAGACCCATGAATTAATTCTTATGAATAATTCTTCAAGGCTCAAAATTTAAAACAAAGACTAAGACTGCTAAATTCTTTTTTTATTTCATTTTATTTTATTTTTGAGGCAGAGTCTTGCTTTGTTGCCCAGGCTAGAGTGAGTGCCATGGCATCAGCCTAGCTCACAGCAACCTCAAACTTCTGGGCTCAAGCAATCCTCTGCCTCAGCCTCCTGAGTAGCTGGGACTACAGGCATGTGCCACCATGCCCAGCTAATGTTTTCTATATATATTAGTTGGCTAATTAATTTCTTTTTATTTATAGTAGAGATGGGGTCTCGCTCTTGCTCAGAGTTGATCTGGAACTCCTGAGCTCAAAGGATCCGCCAACCTTGGCCTCCCAGAGTGCAAGGATTACAGGCATGAGGCCACCCCGCCCAGCCTAGCTTATGTTTCTTTAAATAGGACAAATTTCAAAGGACATTGGAGTAACACTTCTGAGGCAATATAATGTACTTGAAATTAACTATATTATTAAAATTTTATGCACAAGACAGCCATCATGTATCATTTACTTGTGTAATTTTTCTAACAGTTTTCAGAGAATAGTCCATGTTATGGCTGACAAAATACTTCAACTGAGTACAGTCTGATAAAGTAGAAAGTGTCCTAGACTTGGAATCAAAAGTCCCAAGTTACTATCTCAGCTGCAACTATATGAGCTGAGGTCACGACTGTGAAGGTGACCAAGTCCCCAGATGCTTTCTATGGGGTTTCATCAGTCAGTGATATATAATCCAGATCAATTCTTCATATTTCATATGAAGAAACTTTTAAAACCAGAGACATTAAATCAGGAAATATGAAATATGCCTGAAATATCAAAAAAGAGAAGCTCACTGAAAAGGGGAAAAATCAACTTTATAAAACAGGAAAATACTTTAATTATTTATTCAGTCAAAATGTAGTAACTAGCTCCATGAAGTCATAACATGTGTTCAGTTAGATTTAGTAAACTTTGCAGACTAATGTTCTGAGTTCATTTTTATGTGAAAAACATTTTACTTGAACCACAGAGCCCCTGGCTATTCAGAGAGAGGGAAGAAACAGCTAGAAAGGAGCCTCTTTTTTTTTTTTTTTTAGTGTTTTTTTTTTTTTACTTTTTTTTTTATTTTGGCATATTATGGGCGTACAGATTTTAAGGTTTCAATAAATGCCCTTTCCCCCTCTCCCCTCACAAGTCTGAGTCTCCAGCATGACCATCCCCCAGATGGTGCACATCTCACTCATTATGTATGTATATACCCGCCCCCTCCCCCCTCCCACCTGCCTCTTTTTCAAGAGTTTAATCTAATGAATAAATAAACTGACTAACTGCTCTGGTCCAAATTATGGTATCAGATACCACTGCAAAGGAAATCTTCAGGTGAAACCATAGGTTGGAATGCCTTGGGAATTCCCAGGCCTTAGAGTATCTCTCGCTAACACAAGGGAAATAAACTGTGTGGCCATATCTGGATGGCAATTTAGGTTCATTTGTTTTGATTCAATGTGGATATGAATATTCTCCCCCTGTTGGGATCACAGCAAATCTGGAGCCCAGAGTCTGGACAAGGTAACAGTTGAAGCAGTGGTTCTCAATCTGGGGTAATTCTGTCCCCCAATAGACATCTGGCAATGTCTGGAGACATTTTTGGTTCTCGCAACTGTAGAGGGAGGTGGCTCTGGCATCTAATGGATAGTGGCCAAGGGTGCTGTTAAACATTTTACAATGTACAGGATTGCTTCTAAAACAAGAAATGATCCAGCTCAAAATGTCAATAGTTCCAAGGTTGAGAAATCCTGACTTAAAGCATCATGATTTCATCCAATCATGAAATAAGGATTTAGGTAAACAAGAGAAGACTATACTTGAAACACAGAACTGAGTGTAACAGATGAGATTTGCCACATTGACACAATAGTGATGTTTTGAAAAGGAGACAAATGTGGACAACAGAGAACTGGAAATATACGTGGAGGAGGGACAACTGCACTCTTTTTAAAGACATTGAATTTGTACTGAAGGAGGAAAAATGTTTTAGAGAAGAAAGGCATGAGTACTGAGACAGAACATGGGAAGGAGACTGGTATATAGAAAAAAGACGTGAGCGCCGTGGCACAGTGGCTCATGCCTGTAATCCTAGCACTCTGGTGGAGCCGAGAGTGGGCAGGATGGCTCAAGGTCAGATTTCGAAACCAGCCTGAAAGCAAGAGGTGAGACCTGTCTCTACTTAAAATAGTAAAGAAATAATTTTGGCCACTAAGAATATATATAGAAAAATTAGCCAGGCCAGGCCTATGGTGTGCATTGCCTGTAGTCCCAGCAACCCGGGAAGGCTGAGGCAGGAGGATCGCTCTGAGCCACGGAGTTTGTTAGTTGCTATGAGCTAGGCTGACACCAGGCACCCTAGCAGGGCAAACAGAGTGAACTGTTCTCAAACAAAAACGAACAAAAAAAAGAAGGAGCGGAGCCGACGGTGAGAAGGTAAACTGGACTTACGCAGAATAAACGTAAAGACAAGATGGCAAATCAATCCACATGGAAAATGGTACTGGCCTAGGATGCCTGTTGCTCTTAGATAATGCCCTAGATACCTAAGGTATCTTTCCACCATTAACATTTTATGATTCAAGAACAGTGGGTCTCGGGGCATGGGCAATATACGTAACCTTAACATTTGTACCCCCATAATATGCTGGGAAAAAAAAAAAAGATGAAGCTTCTGAATGAAGAAAAAAAAAAGAACAGTGGGTCTCAACTTTCTGCATCTAAGAAGCCTTAAGATATTTTTAAATATTAAGATGCCTGAAGCCCACTCCCAGATTCTGATTTAGTAGGTCTGAGAAGGACCAAAACATCTGTATTTTTAAAAGCTTCAAGGTAAGTATGGACACAGGTCAGAAACTATTGTTCCAAGGCCTCTCCCATTACTGTATTATCTATAACAGTATTCAATGTTCAGCCCAAATAAAATAATTCAACTATTAACTCTAACTGTAACTGTTAATTTGCTGCTTATCTATGCCCTCAATCCAATCTTAAGATAACCAGAAATGAAACAATGTTTTATAAAACAATGGTGTGCGTATTTTTAAACTTACTAAAATGTAATTATAGTATCACTTTTGATGTCTAAAAATCTTGGATTTGAATGTCTAAATCTAAAGGTCAATCACAGTGAACAATTAAAATTATGGCAAATTTTTGCTAGGTACTAATTAACCAATTAAAATGATGATTACCTTTTAAAAAAAAAACGCTCATAATAAATTATATGAAAACAGCAGGACACAAAACTATATGTGTGTACGTAGGACCTCGTTCTATTAAAGATTAGAAACAAAATGGGAAGATTGATTTAAATGTCAACATTTAGTTAATTTTAAGTTCTGGAAATTATGGGTTTTTCTCATTCATAATTTTTTCTCATTCATAATTGTCCATGCTTCCAAAATTTTATAAAACACATATATTACTTTGATAATTGGAAAGAAAAGTGGCAATTCTGCTGATAGAGGCTGGATCAAAACACAATTTTTTCCAGGGCTGAATACAATCACATTTCAAAAAGACCATGGAATTAATTCTTATGAATAATTCTTCACAGGCTCAAAATTTAAAAAAAGACTAAGACTGCTAAATCTTTTTTATTTCATTTTATTTTATTTTTGAGGCAGAGTCTTCTTTGTGCCAGGCTAGAGTGAGGTGCCATGGCATCAGCTAGCTCACAGCAACCTCAAACTTCTGGGCTCAAGCAATCCTCTGCCTCAGCCTCGCTGAGTTGCTGGGATACAGCATGTGCACCATGCCCAGCTAATGTTTTCTATATATATTAGTTGGCTAATTAATTTCCTTTTATTTATAGTAGAGATGGGGTCTCTGGCTTGCTCAGGCTGGTTTCGAACTCCTGGCCTTGAGCAATCTGCCTACCTTGGCCTCCCAGAGTGCTAGGATTACAGGCATGAACCACCGTGCCTGGCCAAAGACTGCTAAATTCTTAAACAGTGATGGATGTAAGGTATTGTAATAACAACTACACCTTAGGATCAAATTAGAGTTACTATGAGGAAGTATACCTATAAATTTATTAGGTGAGGAGTGTTGTGCCAATAAACTCCTTAGATAAGGAATTGAAAACACTTTGAAAATCTCTATCCAAGCTGACCCAGAGAGCACTGAGCCAAATTCTACCAGTGACTGATTCCTCTCTAGCCATGAAGGAAGCTTGTCAGGGCCAAAAGATTATCTAGTTAATGCTTAAAAAAAAAAAAAAAAAAAAAAAGGAAAGGATTCTGCTAAATTTGATATATTTTGAAAGACGGACCAAAAAATCTAGAGAAATAGTTATGGGGAATAGCTACAGTAGAATGATAGGATGCTTGAAATTATTGCAAACTCTTAAATATTTCTTGCACGGATTAGCCAGTAGTGGTGGGTACCATGCCTCCAGGATTTTTGAGGATTACAAATATCCTATCCCTTTGTAAGCACACTCAAATTTGTGAGACCATGTGCCTTTATTTTTAATTATGAAGATATGAATGCTTATCTGCCAGTGGTTAGAACTGTGAAATACCACAACCACAACGTCCAGAAGGGCTACTGACCGCAGAGGTTTAAGTGATCCTAACTATGTTATGTGCAGGTATACATCATTCCACTGCACGTTCTGGCACATTTCGGCTGTGTTCCGAGGGTCAGTGATGCAGACAAGAGGCGTCATTTTATTCACCTCTCCTACTCATGGGACCTGGTTCTCAGTCCCTGTTAAGGTACGGGGCTCCGCAAACCAAATCTGCCATTTCCTCTTGACGCCCGGAAGACAGCAGCGCAGGTAACTGGAAATCGATGGCAGGTAAAACATTTTTCAAAATAAAAATAAATGACTTCTCAAGAGCTTTTCCAATCTAGAGTGAAGAATATTTCTGAATACAGAGGTAGAATATTAGATTGTTTCAAAGCCCATTTTCACTGAGTGAGAAGACCTGGAATAAGACCAAGTTAACGGCCTCAGGTTGCACTAGACATGGTGTGGAATGCAGAGACTACCCAGAACGGCCCTGCCCTCTGGGGGCCCTCAGTCTGGCCTCTGCACAGATCGGCGGCTCCGGAAGGCAGCCAGTGCCCCGCTGCGGACAAAGGTCTGAGCGGCCTCCGAGTCCCTAAAAGGCCTCGGCCTCGTCCGACCCCAGACTGCAGTCCAGGGGTCCCGGGGACGACGTGTTACCTGCAGCAAGTGCAGCTGGGCCACGAGGCGTCGCGGCAGGTGGAGGAAGCAGTCACGAGCGTTGGTAAAGGCCACAGTCACTGCTGCCCCGCCTCCATCAGAAGCTGCTAGTGGATCACTGCCCCACATAGTCCAGAAGCACCGCTCCGGGGCCGCCCACCTGAACGCAGTGGCTGACCCCGGCTCCGGCAGGCCGAGGGTGTCGGAGCCCGAAAAGATCGATCGGCCCCGCCCCCTGCTGCCCCGCCCCCTCTCCTAGCGGCGCGTCTCTCGGCGCGCCTGTAAACGGTGGGACGAGCAAGCTTCTGTCACCACCGGGCGTCTCCGCCGAGCCGCTAGGAGGCAGCACTTCGTCCACCGAGTCCTCTCTCGCAGGAAACGATAGCCGACGCAGTCGATTCTTCAGCCAATCCTGGCACGCTTTGACCCGTCCCGTTCTCTTATTGGATAAACAGGAGGTCAGCAAAGCGGATGTTGTTCTTCTCGACATGACCAAAGCAGGCAAGATGGCGTCGAGTAGTGGGGAGCTTGGGGGCTTATTCGATCATCACGTCCAGAGGGAGGTATGCGACACGCGAGCAAAATACCGAGAGGGACGACGGCCTCGCGCTGTCAAGGTAAAGTGATTTCGGTTTCATTCGCTATCCTGGGTAGTTTTATGTAAGCGCAAGCACCACATGGCCAGACTAACATAAATAAGGGCTTGACAAAGCTGCTGTCAGGTCTGTCATCGAGGAGACGGTGTGAAGAACCCCCAGGTCAAGTACCAAAGTTTCTCACCACCTAGTTGCTCAACTATTAGAATATAAGCGCCACGGGAATAGGGCTGGGTTTTAGTCATTGGCTCTTCCCTCTTCCCTGTTTACGTGTTTGCTTGGCACGTGGTAATCACTGAATATTTGTTGAGTGACTCTTCCCAGTGACGTTTACTGACCCAAGTTATGAGACAAAATGTCGACTGAAGGAAGTCTGTTATATGCCTTAGTTAGATACCCTGACACGTGGAAAGTGTTACTCTTTATACAGAGTGAGTGGCAAAATTTTTATTTTTGTGTTTGGTTTGAACTGGTTTGAACAGGTTATTTGTTGTTTTCAAAGCTCTGGTTTTTTTTTAGAAATAGAGGCAGATTTGACCTAGGCTTATATGCGAAATAGTTTAATGAGTCTGCATTTCTTTTAGGTATATACAATCAATTTGGAATCACGGTACTTATTAATACAAGGAGTTCCTGCAGTGGGAGCCATGAAAGAATTAGTTGAGCGATTTGCTCTATATGGTGCAATTGAACAATATAATGCTCTAGATGAATACCCAGCAGAAGACTTTACTGAAGTTTATCTTATTAAGTTTATGAACTTAAGAAGTGCAAGGTAATATGCAAGTTAAGCAATGTCTCATTTCCTTCATTCTTATTGCTCTCATTTTGGCCCCATATTTCCCTCATTCAGACCTAAATTACTCAGTAACTTAATATGGCCCTGTATCATTCGTGTCTTCCTCCAGTCTTTTTAAAGATTAAACCTATCAAAGCATTATTTCCATCACATCATTCCTATGCTTAACAATGTCTATCCTATGGTATGGTAGATTAAAAATTGGGTTTGGGGCCTGGCGCAGTGGCTCACACCTGTAATCCTAGCACTCTGGGAGGCTGAGGTGGGAGGCTTGCTTGAGGTCAGGAGTTCGAGACCAACCTGAGTAAGAACAAGACCCTGTCTCTACTAAAAATAGAAAAAATTAGCCAGACCTGGTGGCACTCACCTGTAGTCCCAGCTACTCAGCAGGCTGAGGCAGGAGGATTGCTTGAACCCAGTAGTTTGAGGGTGCTGTGAGCAGGGCTGATGCCAAGGCACTTTAGCCCAGGGGACAGAGTGAGACTGTCTCAAAAAAAAAAAAAAAAAAAAATTGGATTTGGAGTAAGTTTTCCAGTCCCACTGCTTCTTAGCTTCATGACCTTGGGCAAGTTATCTAACCCTATTAAGTCTGTTTTTCCTTTTCTGTAAAATCTATATGGTAAAAGGACCTACTTCTTGAGGTTATATCACATAAACCCTCTGCTCCAGTAAGGCTGAAGTATGCAATGCCTTATCTATTTTTATGTTGACCCCTATTCTTGTAATTAATCTGCTCTTGAGCCCCATCCCTCCTTGGCTATTACAATTTCACAGTTTCTTTTCTGTGCTATCAGTAGAACTCATAGTCTGCCACAAAGCACTTGATTTTATGGAGTCATGTATTATTCTCAGGCATCAGGTATATGTATTCTCGTTTTCCTAACCAACATGCCAGCTCCCCCTTGTTAGGGAAGCATATTTTCTACAGCTTTGTATTTTCCACAGCACCTAGTCTAGTAGGCTCAGGAGTAAGACATCTGAGTTTGAATCCTACCTCTACAAATTAGTGTATGAGCATAGCCAAGTTATATACTGTCCTAGTATTTCAGTTTCATCATATTGTGAGGTGTTAATTCAAGTGAAACACTTGTGACATTGCCTAGCACATGGTAAAATCTCAATAAGTACTCATCACTATCCCTGAATACAGAAGTACACAAATTTACTTATAGTTCCTGGACAGTCCTAGATCGTCCCTAAATATTTATTGACTGAATAACATTCTTCTTATTTTCTCATTGATTAGTTGTTATATATTCAGTATTTCATCAGTTATTGAAAGTTTTACACAGTTATAGTGTTTTTTTATTTGATTTTTTTTAACATACGAATCCCATTATAGGTACACTGAAAAGGCTAAAATATGTATGAGCTAACTCTCGAGGGCCCATTTAACACAGTGAAGAGCTCTATTTTATGACCACAGTTTATGTGCCTCAGCCCAACCACCTGGGTCCTTAGTTAAAGAGAGTCCAGAGATGTGTGGGTGACTTAGGTCAAAATGTGCTAACACTATTATTGGGAGAGGGAAGAGAAGGCTTTAAGGGTACATACTGGGTCAGTAGGATCAACATCATCCACAAGCAGAGCATCAAATTCCGTCTATAGGCAGTAAGTAACATTTCCAAGCTGACTTCCTCTGTAGACATTATCTTGTCTTGTTGTATAACTAAACTTCATCTGAAAGTAACACAGATTAACCTCTATCCTTATTCTATTCAGGCAGCAAGAGAAAGGATGAACAAGTTTCTTTGGAGATTTGCTTCCATGTGTGCTATGCTCCAGAATTTGAAACAGTTGAAGAACAGAAAAACTAAACAGAAAGTATACATGGCAGAACTACTAATAAAGGTATGACCTTTACTAACGCTCCTACATGGCAGGCACTCTACTTAGGTCTCACTCATCATCCGTTCCTAGTGGTGAGAGGAAGCAAGTAAAATAATCAAACTAAATGATTTTATTTTCCAAATTTTGGTTCACCCTACAGAGTCTTGTAGCATATTGCATAATGGGGGGAGGGAAAGAGTTGGTCAGAAAACTTCACAGGTAGTGAGATGGCTGATTTTACAGTAAGAGACACTTACCCAGAGGCAGGAACAAGAGGAGAAGACCGCAGCATGTAAATGCCTAACAGGCTTAACATCCTTACTAAGGAATGCGATTATACACATAATGCAAAGCCAGAGTTCAGGAGAGGGAATAGAAAAGTGGTAAGAATGAACATGGGCAGGGCAGTTGCTCACGCATATCCCAGCTCTTCGAGCCGAGTGGGTGATTTATGAGCTCAGGAGTTCGAGCAGCCTGAGCAGAGCAGACCCCGACTCTATAAAAAACAAAATAGCAGATTACTGAAACTAAAATCTTAAAAGAAAAAGGCGGCTGACGCATGCTATATAGTCCCTACCAGGACTGACAAAATTGCTGACAGGGTTTTGAGGTGCGTAAGCAAGCTGATGCCTGGCACTCTGCCGGGCACAGAGTAAACTCTGTCTCAAAAATAATAAAGAAAAACTTAAAGCGGACGATGGCTCACCCTAATCCTACCTCTAGGAGCGGCGGGCAGACCTCAAGGCAGGAGTGAACAGCTGAGCAAGAGCGAGACCCCGTCTCTACTAAAAATAGAAAGAAATTAATTAGCCAACTAAAAATATATAGAAAAAATTAGCTGGGCATGGTGGCGCATGCCTGTAGGCCCAGCTACTCGGGAGGCCGAGGCAGAGGATTGCTTGAGCCCAGGAGTTTGAGGTTGCTGTGAGCTAAGCTGATGCCATGGCACTCTAGCCCAGACAACAGAGTGAGACTCTGTCTCAATCAATCAATCAGTCAATAATAAAACAAAAAAAGAAGTGAATCCTGAAAGGCCTTGTGTTCCATGTAAGGAATTAAGGCATTGACCTGAAGGCATTGAGAAGCAATTATGATTTGCAGACTAGTTTCCAGCTGCTATTCATGGAAAAGTTCTACTTTTGACCAGCTGGCTACCTGCTCCACAGACCCCTTCTGTAATCAGTCACAGAAAGCAGTGGAAAAAGAGAAGTAAGGTGGGAAGACCCTTGGAAAACTTACCTAGAATTCTAGCAGGAGAGCTGTTGAGAATCCCTGGTCAGTTTTAGGCATTGAACTGTAACTTGTGAGATATGTAAATAACTGGCACCAGAAAAACTTGCATGTTTGTGTGGCAAAGGAAATTACAAAGTATTGATGTGGAGAAAGACTGTTCAGATTATCTGATTTGTGTCCTAATTTTTACAGGTAAGGAAACATTAAGGCTCAGAAAGTTTGTGACTGGCCTATATCATTAGGGATAAATTAGGAGCAAAAAAAGGATTAAAACCCATTTTTGGACTCGCTGTCCAGAGCTCACTGTTTGCTTTATTCATCTCAGTGTTTGTGATAGAAGGCTTGTGTAATATTATCTTTGTTCTTTGCTGCCCTTCCTTTTAAGACCTTTTTGCCCTGTGCCTGACCTCCTTAGAATTAGATTCATATTGCTCCAGCTTTCAGTGGTAGTGTGATATAGTGTTTTTAAACTATGACTTGTTTGGCCTTGGCTACTTTAATTAAGCTCTTTTTTCTTTTCTTTCTTTATAAATCCATTCTAACATTCCATTAAGTTCTCTTCATCGGCAGCATTCTAGCATCTACTTGGTACATTTGTATATTTAGTCTCACTTTTTAAAAACTTTTATTATGGATATTTCAAAGCATATAAAGGTAGAGAGACTAAGATAATGTACCTACCATGCATTAACATTAACATTCATCAACACATAGCTAATTTCATCTTTCCACACTCCACTCCAGTAGTGCAGTCTGCCTTTGGAAGAGGCCTGTGCAGGCCCTAAAAGTGGGCCCAGCATATTGTTTCCTTTAATAACTAAAAAACACAAACTAAACTGCATGATACATCCATGTAGTAGAATGCTCGAAACCATTAGAAAAGCAGCTTTATATGTAACGACATACAAAAAAACTCTACCAGACCTACAGTTAAGTGGAAAAGGCAAAGGTGCAGAGAAGTGGATATTACAGGTTACCTTTTTTAGTGTAAAGAAAGAGAGGTATAGGTAGGAGGAGGAAAGTAAGATATACTGGACAGATAAGTAAGAAAGAATAGTGATTACTTATGGGGTGTGTAAACCAGGCCCGTGGGGAGCAAGGAAAGGGCGAAGCTTGACACTAGATACCTTTTTCTTTTTAGATTTTAAATGTATGAATTCATGAATGTATTCCCAAGAAATAAATTTTTTGGAGTTGAATTTGTTAACATTTTAAAGTGATGTTTGTTTTTAAAGTTATATGTTTCTGAATGATGAAAACAATAAATGAGCCAGTTTTGTTTCTGTTTCCCTCATTTGTTTTATTGTCTTATAAAGACCATTATATGACAAAGAAGAAACTGGTTGCCGAGCAAAAAGACACAAAAGATTTTATACAAGACTTCCACTCAGAGATGTCTGGATTTTGTGCAGCTGCTTTGAACGCTTCTACAGGGAACTCAAATCCTGGTCTTCCTTATTCTTGTGACTTGCCTTTATGTTATTTCTCCTCAAAATGTACGTGTTCATCCAGGGAGCATGTGGACAGAGCATCAAACTCCTCTAAGGATGGTGGAAACCATGATCAAACAGTAGAGCATTGTTACCATAGTGACTCCTTGCAGAAAATACAGGTGAACACTTTTAAAAACTCAGTGACCTACTCTGGTATACAAAAAGCTATTACTCCTTCAGAGGCGGCTGACAGATTCATGCCTAGGACAACACAGCTGCAGGAGCGGAAAAGAAGAAGAGAAGATGATCGTAAACTTGAAACTTTTCTTGAAGCAAGCACGAGTAGTAATGAGGTTATGATTGGGCCTCTATTACCAGACATACCTAAAGTGGATATGCATGATGACTCATTGAATACAACAGCAAATTTAATTCGGAATAAACTTAAAAAGGTAAGGTCATTTTAAATTACTGTTTTAAGAGGCAATTTGGTTATAGGACTAACAAGTAACTAAATGGAGAATTGTTTGTATTGTAATTTTTTTTCATTTTTGGTATTTTTCCTACAATTTTTCTGTTGAATTAACTGAATTTGACTAGCATTCATTTACTTTGATACTGTTAATTCTATATCACTGTAATATAAAATATTAAAGTGGTGGTTTTAGTCAATTAAATCAGTATGTGAGAGTGGAGCTAAAAGCCTCCTCCCTTTTTTTAAAGCTCTCCAGATAGTTTTAATATGAGCCAAAGTTAGAAAGGAAAATTATTATAATTTCTCTTAAATTCAAAGTTACTATAGATTATATCAAATTCAAAATTATTATATTGCTTCTGTAATAAAGATAGCAATAAGGCCAGGCACAGTGGCTCATGTAATCCTAGCACTTTGGGGGAGGCCAAGGCAGGAAGATCACTTCAGGCCGTGAGTTCAAGACCAGCCTGAGCAAGAACGAGACCCCATCTCTACAAAAAATGGAAAAATTAACCTGGCTTGGTGACGCGCATCTGTAGTCCCGACTACTTGGGAGGCTAAGCCAGAAGGATCACTTGAGCCAGGAGTTTGAGGTTGCAGGGAACTATGATAATACTGCTACATTCTAGCCTAGGTGACAGAGCGAGATCCTATTTCAAAAAAAAGAAAAAAAATAGCAATAGAAAATGGTGAAATTTCTAAAAATTGGGCCTCCAAGTCTGCATTTCAGATGTGAACTTCTTAAATGATTAGACCTAGATTGTGTTATCTCTAGGTAAGTTTTTAAAAATGTTATTTAAATAATCGTTTTCCATTTCGTAAGCACAAATAAAGAAAGTTAACATTTAGGTAGCTTTTGAAAGACACTTTTATAAACTGAAGGTCATGACCATTCCCTATATTTAACTCCAAGGTTCACAAAGTGCTTTTCACATAGTTGTATACATATTTTACAATGTGATTAAGGGAGGCTAAGATAGCTTCATTTCTTCTATGTACATTTTTTGCCAGAAAATTATTATTTGGCTAAAGATGAAGGATTGTTTAATAATAATTAAAATCCATGGGCACACTTTTTATGCTTAAGCCTTCTTAAGTTTTTCAGTTTGTGCTGGTGTCCTTACTTCTTTCAGTTATGGCTGAACTGAGGCATAGATAGAGATACATATCAGCCAGAGCTGATTGCATTTTATTTATTTATTTATTTATTTTTGAGACAGTCTCACTTTGTTGCCAAGGCTAGAGTGAGTGCTGTGGCGTCAGCCTAGCTCACAGCAACCTCAAACTCCTGGGATCAAGAGATCCTACTGCCTCAGCCTCCTGAGTAGCTGGGACTATAGGCATGCGCCACCATGCCCGGCTAAATTTTTCTATATATATGTTAGTTGGCCAATTAATTTCTTTCTACTTATAGTAGAGATGGGGTCTCGCTCCTGCTCAGGCTGGTTTCGAACTCCTGACCTCGAGCAATTCACCCGCCTTGGCCTCCCAGAGTGCTAGGATTACAGGCGTGAGCCACCGTGCCCGGCCCAGAGCTGATTGCATTTTGAGGGAAAAAGTGTTAAGTTCAATTCTAGATATGGAAATAATAGAACAACAACAAAAACAAGAAATAAATAAAAGAAATCAATAAAATTTACTATAGTTGCTAATAACTTTCCATTTCAGATGAAGACTGTCTTACTCTGCTTTGACTTATTGTCCACTTTTTCTGATGATGTGTTTGGTTTTCATTTTTCCACTAGGAAATTGAGGATTATACCATTTTCTACTTATTTCTCCAAATGTTTTATTTCCCCCCACCACACAAGCATCCATGTCTCTAAATCTGTCAAACATTATTTCAAGAATGCAAAAATGGGATATCTGTCTGTATCCACAAAATAACAAGTGACTTTAGATCTATAAAGGAATGTTAAAGTAGAACATACGTTCATTTTCCTACCTCCGATTTTTTTTTAATGGCATTAGAAATTTACTCTCATAAATGTTTGAACAAGAACTTTGTTCAGGTCACCGGTTGTGCCTTGAATTTGGACCAACTCTGCCTTAAAAGTGATGGCAGTGTGTCCAGTGTGCGCCTATAGTCCCAGCTACTCACTTGAACCCAGTAGTCTGAGACCAGCCTGGGTAACATAGCAAGACCCACTCTCAAAAATTAAAAAAAAAGTGATGACAAGGATTGAACTATTAGATATATATCTCACCTCTTCTAACAGCACATTTACTCTTCTATAAAAACTAAGTTTTCATGTTTTTTTTTAAACTAGGTAATTTCATGTGTGCCAAAGCCTCCAGAGGACAAGCTGAAAGATGTGCATACGAGTCCTCCATTTAAACAAAGAAGAAGAATATAGATTGCCAGCAGCAAATCAATATTTCCTAATGAGAATGTTTGTTGTTTTTAGCCTGTCATTTTAATTCTTCAAGAGATTTTACTGCTGGTGTTTTTTATTGCACTCCTTGTAATTTCATTCAAGCTCTTTGTCTAAAATCATTTCTTTTTTTTTTTTATCCATACTTCATATTACAGAAACTGTTCTTGTCATATAACATTGTCTCTCACTTTGCCATAACTAAATGTAAATTAATTAAAGCAAATATAGAAACTTTACAGTACAAATAAAGATAGGCAGCCAGGATTTGTTTCTGATTTTCATACAAGTATTGAGTGGTTCACATTCAAAAACAAGAAGGCAGGATGTTTCTGAATGCCAGGGCTTCAAAATCAAGACAATTCTGTAAAGTAAAAAAGTTAATTAACTGTTAGAGGAAAGCTGAAATTAGAAGCTTACATGCTTTAGTTAACTTCTAAGAAGAATTTACTTGACTTATGGCGATCAAAAACAAATTAGTATTTGTAAATTCTAGACTTCTACTACTACTTTGGCATATCAACACTTTTCTCTGTTAGTGGACCATATGGTTGAAATACAAGTACATCAAGGCTATTTCCATTTTCTTTACTGATAAAAAACAACTGAGGAAGGCCCATAATACATGTTGTCTGTTTTTTATTTCTCCCTATCCTTAGTGGCTTCTTGCCTTGTGGATTGGATTTGAACATAACAGTAAATAAGGTTCAACTTCACTTATCATGATGTACTGATCCAAATTTGCTAGAATGGCTCTAAGTGGTGGATGGTATGAAAAGAAACTGCAGGCAAGGGATTAGCCTCTACTTCCTTGTGAAGTATATGGATATATTTTTTGCTGAAATCTTGGGTAAAAGATACATTAGAGACCTAAGCATAGAATTGGAGAGAACAAATTATGTTCCAGATCAGGCTTCTCAGACTTTAAGGTGCTATGAATCTCCACCTCAGGATCTCATTAAAATGCAGATTCTGATGGTAGTGGCCAGGGGTTGTGGGAAGGAGGGGGAATGGGGAGTTTAATGGATATAGAGTTTCAGTTTTGCAAGATGAGTTCTGGAGATTAGTTTCATGACAATGTGAGTATACTTAACACTACTGAACTGTACACTTAAAAATGGTTAAAATGGTTAATTTTATACTAGGTGTATTTTACCACAGTGTTCTTTGGCAGCTCTAAAGGGAGGAGCTGCTAGGTGGGTTCTGTGTGCCTGAATGGGTTTCTGATCTGTGATCCTGTGAAAGCCAGCACTCTTCCCTGTCCCCACCAACATACACAATATTTGATCATGATCAGAGAAAAAGTAAGTGCCCATCAACTAATGAGTGGATAAAGAAAATGTGGTATATATATATACCATGGAATACTACTCAGCCATAAAAAAAGAAAAATAATGTCTAGCAGCAACATGGGTGGAACTGGAAGCTGAAATCCTAAGTATCTCAGGAATGGAAAAACAAATACCACGTGTACTAAGTGATGGGTATACATGGCTATACAGAGCAGTATATTAATATATTTTGGAGACTCAGGATGAGAGGAATCAAAAATAACCTTACAGGTACACTAAAATCCCTGACTTAACTGTACAATTCATCCATGTTACAAAAAAACCAAAAAACTCATAGCCCCTAAATCTATTGAAATAAAAAATAAACATTTAGGGTGTCAAGCGGAAAAAAAAAAGATTCTGACTTTGTTGGTTGGGGTAGGGGCTGAGATTCTGTATTTTTCACAATTTCCTATGTAATGCCACTGCTGCTGCTGGTGCCCAGACCACACTTTGAGTAGCAAGGCTCTAGATAACTGGGCTACAGATGAACTCTCTGGGAATAGCTGAAGTACTGTTGTCTGTTCTAAGTTATAGTTACTCTAATCCAGTCCATTATGCTATAGTGTTTTCCCCATCAATCTCTTCAAATTGGAAACCTGCCTTCCACACATATTTCCAGACAATTAAAATGTGGGATCTAAGCCTGAGAAATAGCCAAACCCTGTCTCTACAAAAAAATTTAAAAAGTAGCTATGAAATGAGTTCATACATTAAAGCTCTGTGGTGGGGCACACCTCTACTCCCAGCTACTTGGTAGGCTGAAACAGGAGGATCCCCTGAGCCCGGGACTTCAAGGCTGCAGTGAGCTATGATCACATCACTGCACTCCAGCCAGGGCAACAGAGTGAGACCCTCTCTAAAGAATAAAAGTAAAAATGTGGGGTCTAGGGAATAAATGACAGTAGGACGAGTTGGAAAGATGAGCTGAGATGTCTAAGGATAGCTTAACAACATCCAAGCTAATTTACAAAATCACTATATAAATTACTGCAGAAAATAAAGTTTCTTCCTATATGTGTTTGAAAAGCATAATCGAAGGAAATTTTATGATCCAACCAATTATTAGGCTGAATATTTCAGCTTGAAAAAGTACTATACATGTATCCAAAATTTAAAAAAACTTACTTTATCCTCATTGTTTGACAATAATTGGGTTGGAAGAGATCAAGTGTTCTAGCAGTTTATGGTGGGTACTTATTGGATCCACTCATAATGTTCTATCCCTTAAGCAAGCCAATATACCCTGGTTTTGGTTTTGGAAATATTGTCACCCTACTTACAGAAAACAGGAATTGTGTATGGCTATGGAAGCTAAAGAGCTCAATAAAAGTCTGTTGACTTTAGTTACTGAAATAGTCACTAGTACTATCTTAGTGCCCAAAATGCTCAGATGGGGCTGAGCTTCATGCCTGCCTGAACTTCAGCAGTGGGCTGCAGCCCCACAGAGCTGAGTGTCTAGCAAGTAATACTTTCTGACCCTTTAAAATTTTTCCTCAACCAATTTGGGCTGTTGGCACTTGTAACTGTACCTTTGCTTCTGGTAAACATGGTCCAAACACCTCCAACAGAAGTCTGTCTTCTCTCACTGCTCTTTCAAAATCTGCAAAAGATATCTTGCCATCGTTGTCATAATCCTAAAGAGGAAGATATTTCTTAATAAATGGCAGTAGTTTTTAACTTTGCGTAGAAATAGCTATCTGAAAGGTTTTGCCAAGTAAAACTATAGTTTTACTTATAAATTCATACTTTTGTAGACACTTTATATATATATAATCAAATATATAATCAAAAGGTATTTATTTATGAAGGCCACTTACTTTCTTCCTGTTCTTATAGGCATACCTGAGTTACCTTAGATATATTGTTAATTGTATCCCTTCCCCTAAAGCAGTTTAATTGGAGAAATAAGACAAGAAAGCAAGAGGATGCCCATTAGGATACTGCAACTTTTTGATGAGAGCAACAGGACAATGATTTTCAAGCTTCGTTTTTTGTACAACTTGCTCCTCAAAAGATCTCTTACTTAGGAGCCCATGAGGGGAAAAGGATATAAGTGAAGTTGCTCTATTAAGGCACTGGGAGTTACACCATTAACAGTTCAGGGTGGATTTGAGTCCTAAGACTTGCAGACCACTGGCTGGGCCTTTAGGGATGGTTGGGATCTGGATAGGTAGAGAGGTGTCGGGAGGGACTGCAAAAGAATGGCCCACCAGAGTGAAGCCTTCGTGATGGGGATTATTAGAGATTAAGTATGTCATGCAGGAGAGGGGGAGGGAGGAACATATGTAGATGATGAATGCCTTTAACTGCTTAATTGGATTGGATTGGGTTAGGTCCTTCAGGGTTGCTGAGAGTCTAAAGTTTGAATAATTGTCAGAAAAAAGTTTACTCCATAAACATTTCCTTCCAAAAAATAAGGGAGTGAGTGGTACTCAGAAACATACTGTTCTGTCGTCTCTCAAGAAGTCTACTCTTGGCCTTAGCGGTGGCTAGTGAGAGCATTTCTAAAGGAGGAGGATATTGTGGATCCTGCATTAGCTGACTTTGAGACTCCAAAGCCCCCACCATCTATTTCTTTCCTGAACTCCAGAATAATGTAGGTGTGCTGGACCTGGGCTGCCTTACATTGACAAAATCTCGGTGGTATCCAGTTTAGTTAGGGTCGTGGTAAGAAAACAGCAGAAATCACTATGTCCATAATAAGGAGATACTATAGGTTTTATTGAAAGGTGAATTCTGCACCCTATTTTCTATGGTGACCTTGGGTAAACCTTTATTTCAGTTTTCTCATACACAAAATGGAGATGATAGTTTCTACTTCATAGGGTTGTTTTGAGGATAAAATGAGTTCATACATTAAAGCTTTCCGAAGGGCCTGGCATATAGTAAGCACTCTATAAGGGTCAACAATTTTTATTATGATTATTTTGTTGTAATGGGTGTTTAGACAGATTGGAGGAGTAAGGTCATTGGATCCTACAAAATAAAGTAGCATCCAATTTTACACAAATTGAATCTGGTCTCCTCCCAAATTAATTAGGTTTTACTGATAGTAAAATATTTTAAAATAATTAACATTCAGTCACCCAGCTATTTTATAAATATTTATTGAGCACCCACTCACTATCAGCCAGGTACTGTTCTAGTCAATGGATAGAGAAGGGAAAAAAAAACCTCCTTCCCTCCTAAAGCTTAGATTATCTAGGAAAATAAAAATAAATAAATCAATCATTTGACTGAATATAATGCAACACAGTTTTTCATTCTTACCATTTTCTTCAATGTTATATCTACCAACTCTTTTATTCCTTCATCAGTCTCTTCTTCAGATGACTGTTGGTGTAGACTGTTCTTCAATATATCAAATATTTCATCTCGACAAATGTAACCATCTCCATTCAAATAATAGACTTCAAAACAGACTTTTTAAAGCACAAGAAGTTTAAAGAATTTGGATAAGAACTGTTAAAACGTCATTAGTCTTGTCTTTAGTTATTTCAATATATGACACCAAAGGATAAAAACAATTTATACATCATACAATTACTAATCGAATCCACTAGGTAGTAGAGAGATTTTAGAATAAAGCATTCTTTTTTTTTTTTTTTTTGAGACAGAGTCTCACTTTGTTGCTCGGGCTAGAGTGCCGTGGCGTCAGCCTAGCTCACAGCAACCTCAAACTCCTGGGCTCAAGCAATCCTTCTGCCTCAGCCTCCCGAGTAGCTGGGACTACAGGCATGCACCACTATGTCCAGCTAATTTTTTCTATATATTTTTCTAAATATATAAATTTCTAAAATATTCTATATATTTTTAGCTGTCCAAGTAATTTCTTTCTACTTTTTTAGTAGAGACAGGGTCTTGCTCTTGCTCAGGCTGGTCTCGAACACCTGAGCTCAAACAATCCACCCACCTTGGCCTCCCAGAGTGTTAGGATTACAGGTGTGAGCCACCGCACCCAGCCAGAATAAAGCATTCTTTATTATATTTCTTTCCACCAGATTAAATATCCCTTGGGATGTGGAAAGAAAAGTTTATAATTTCTGGATTTTGATATTGAGGGTTTAAAAATGTTAAGAAGCTGAAATAAAGGAGATAATTTTTTTAAACCTTTGATCATGCAATATATATACACACATACACATACATACATATGTATGTGTATCTATCTATATACCAATATTCTGATTTTCTTCTTACATAGAGTACCAAAACAAAATATACACTTCACTATATCACTGAAAAGAACATTTTTCAGTATATTTGGATAGTGAGCCAGTCATCTCCTTGGGCCTGCCCATGTGCACTATCCAAAATTACCAAATAACCTCTTCCTGCAGAGTGATTTCCATGATTACATCTACCGTGTAAGCACCAAATTTTACTCATTCTTCCCATAAATGACCTTATTCATGTCCTGGGAATACAGCAGTGATGGAGCTCTTGTGGAGTTTATAGTTTAATTAAATGTTTTAGCAAAAGCTAACTCAGGAATAGATCTCCAGAGTTATCATATTATAATAGTTGTGTCCTTCTGTTGAATTTCTCCAATCTATAACATACATATGAGTTTGTAACACAACCCTACCAGAAAGTACTATTTTTCCCCAAATTAACATATCTTTAAATATATATCAAACACTTTTAGGAAAATTTTTTTGACAGTTGGATGCTATTCAACCAGGTACAGCTGCATTCAGTGTCACAACCATTTTCAACAAGTATTATTAAGTTATTAAGTAGGGAATGTCTATTTCCTTAAGTACTAAGCTTGACAGTTGATTTCTCTGACATTTCACTTTGACACTTTTTTCTTTTATTGTGAAGATAGCATCCTTGTTCTTTCAAATGCACATTTTGGCTTGTGATTCTCTTTCAATTTTTTTAAGAGCAATTTTTGTGAAACCCTGGATAAGTAAAAAATTCATGTTATTTTTGAATATGAGTTCACTTGTGCAAACAATGCAGCACAGACAGCTTGAAATATCAACGAGTGTTTGGGAAGGATGTGGCTGATGAACGCACAGTACGTCCATCATTTAAGAAGTTCCATTCTGGTGATTTTAATCTTGAAAATGAGCCATCTGGGTGACCCGAGACGAAGGTGGATAATAATAAGCTAAAAATCTGAAGTGGAAGCGAATCCATCTCAAGCTATTCGTGAATTAGCAGCAAGGTTTGACATTACTATTCCAACAATATTGGACCATTTGAAACAAATTGGCCAGGAAAAGAAGCTGTATTTCATGTACCACATGAATTAGATGAGCATCAGAAGAGAAATCATCTCGAAGCTTGCATTTCTTTGCTGTCATCACATAAAGACAAAACATTTCTACACCATATTGTTGCATGTGATGAAAAATGGATTCTTTGTGACAATTTCAAGAGTTCAGCACAATGGTTGCACAAAGATGAAGTGTCGAAACACAGTCTAAAACCAAATGTTCACCAAAAAAGCTAACGGTGTCTGTTTGCTGGTCTGGTGCTGCTATTACTCACTACCACTTCATAAAACCTGGTCAATCAATTACAGTAGATGTCTACTGCAACCAATTGGATGAAATGAGAAGAACGCTTGTGATTAAGCAGCTGTCATTGGTCAAGAGACCAGGCCAATCCTCTTGCAAGACCACATGTTGCAAAAAATAATGCTGTTCAAACGACAGAAGCTGGAGTTGGAAACTCTGTCATCCACTGTATTCACCAGACTTTGCCCCAACTAACTACTACTTCCGCCAGGCTTTGGACCACTTCTTGCAAGGAAAAATATTCAATTCTCAACAAGTTGAGAAAAACACCTTTCACGATCTCATTGCCATGCACTCTCCAGGCTTCTTGGCTGCTGGTACAAGCAAGTTACCGTTAAGATGGCAAAATAGTATAAATAGTTTAAGCACATACTGTGATTAATTGTACTGCTTTTGGTTTGAGATATAATAAACTTTTGATTCAAAATCAGACATTTCATATGTAATGACCTAAATATCATTACCATAAGAATTTACATTCATGAGAGTTAGCTTTTCACTTCTCAGTGAGACTTCTGTATAAGAACACTGCAGCAAATTTAAGTGGTAACTACATTTAAATGTGATCTCATGAAAAATTAGAAGGGAGGAAAACAGTTAAGAAAAAATACAAAACAGAAACAAAAAAATTCATAAGTGTCAAAGAAATGTTACAATTAAAAATTGCTGCTATTATTTTTAAATGTATCTTTAATTTAGTGATCTTCTTTTCAATATCCCAAATTCAAATTCAAGTGGAAGAACAAGAATGGATAAAAATTTGCTCAAGCAAACAGAACTGCAGTTTTTTCTTTAGCAGTTAGACATTTTAAGCAATTTGTTCCCTTGAAAACTGCTATTTAAAATTGTTCCTTGAGGTACTTCAAAAAACTAAAAATAGAATTACCATATTATCTAACAATTCCACTATAGAGTACATATATAAAAGAAAGGAAATGAATGTATCAAAGAGATATCTGAACCCCGTGATTATTACAGCAGTACTCATAGTAGCCAAAATATGGAATCAATCTAAGTGCTCATCAACAGATGGATGAATAAAGAGAATGTGATACATAAATACACAATGGAATATTATTCAGCCACAAAAAGAGTAAAATCCTGTCATTTGCAGCAACATGGATGGAACTGGAGGCCATTGTGTTACATGAAATAAGCCAGGCACAGAAACACAAATATCACATATTCTCACTCATATGTGGGAGCTAAAAAAGTAGATTTCACAAAGATAAAAAGTAGGATGCTGGTTACCAGAGGCCAAGAAGGAGAGTGCAGAGGAGAGGATGAAGGGGGAAAAAAGAATATAAATGTATCTATTACCACTTAACTGTACATTAAAAATGGTAAAAATGGTAAATTACATAAGTATATCTTACCTCAATTAAAACATAAATAAATAAATAAACTGTACCTATTATTTTCCCAGGGTTCCTTGTCCAAACTCCTGACGCCAGAGGTTAAAGCATAGGAAATGAACATTACCCCAGTGGTACAGGAGAGAGCAAATTCTAGGCAAAACTGAACTGGAAGATTATTGTCTTTGGAATTCTTAACATCCTTTTCTGTAGGAAGCTCCATTGATAATCCTCCTCCCTTTGGGCTTTTATTTTTATTTTATTTTATTTTATTTATTTTATTTTTTGAGACAGAGTCTTGCTTTGTTGCCCAGGCTAGAGTGAGTGCTGTGGCGTCAGCCTAGCTCACAGCAACCTCAAACTCCTGGGCTCAAGCGATTCTGCTGCCTCAGCCTCCCAAGTAGCTGGGACTACAGGCATGCGCCACCATGCCAAGGCTCACTTTTTCTATATATTTTTAGTTGGCCAATTAATTTCTTTCTATTTTACAGTAGAGACGGGGTCTCACTCTTGCTCAAGCTGTTTTCGAACTCCTGACCTTGAGCGATCCTCCCGCCTCAGCCTTCCAGAGAGCTAGGATTACAGGCGTGAGCCACCATGCCCGGCCCCTTTGAGCTTTTATTGTCACCAACCTTCTTCCCTTTCTTCACTTCTCTCTTCCATCCATCATCTAAACCAACTCTAACACTAGAGTATTGATGTCAGGTGGTTAATGTGTGTTTTACATTGTCTAGTGTCAACTCCTCACATTCTTTGATGAAAAGACAAGGAATGGCCCCTATGTAACACATGCACCACCCCACGTTGAGGCTCATTTCCTGCTGTGCCCAGAGGCAGCCTCAGAAACCTCAGCCTTGCCAGGTGATCAGAGTTGGCACAAGCCCTGACCATAAGCCAAAGACCCATCCTGGTGACATTTGTGTGTTCCGGAATCAGTGAAGGACCCTGGGGTTGGGGAGTCCTCCTTGACCTTATAATTGTTCCACACATTTCATCTGTTGGGTTTTTTTTTTTTTTTCCTGTAAAGCTATCATGAACTATTTTTGCAAGGTTGCTATAGAGAACACTGGTTTTATATTTTTAATATTATATTTAACCATTGACTAAGTATAAAATTGACAATATGTAGTACTAAGCCAGTAATCACATATAGAAATCTTACACTTTAGCTTTTCTTCAAAAGTCCCTCGAAGAAACACGGATAATCCTTTAACCCACTCTTTTACATTTATGTGGTTATCATTGTCTTTGTCAAATGCAAAAAACACTGAAAGAAAAAGAATGTGCAAGTGTATTGTAACTTAGTGCTATTTTATAGTTCAACAATATTAAGTATGAATAGATAGAAAAACTTTTCTCCCAGATTAAGGGGAACAAAAGGTTTTGAGACAGTCTTCTTGAGAGAATCAAAATTACAGAAATGTGGCTGGGTGCAGTAGCTCATGCCTGTAATCCTAGCACTCTGGGAGGCTGAGGCAGGAGGATCACTTGAGGCCATGAGTTCAAGACCAGCCTGAGCAACAATGACACCCCATCTATACAAAAAATAGAAAAATTAGCCAGGCATGGTGGCGTGCACCTGTAGTCATAGCTACACGGGAGGCTGAGGCAGGAGGATCACTTTAGCCTGGGAGTTTGTGGTTGCAGTGAACTGTGATCATGCCACTACACTCTAGCCTGAGATACAGAGCAAGACACTATCTCAATCAATATTACTGGAAATGTGTTTCCTTCTCCCTATATATTTTTTTTCTTCTTCTTTTTCAGCTCTGTTGCTGCCAGTTGCTTCTGTCTCCCTGTATTTTTAAAGAAGGAAAAGAGTCTGGTCTGTCTGTCTGTCAGTCTGTCAGTCTCTCTTCTCTCTCTCTCTCTCTCTCTCTCTCTCTCGACAGGGTCTCACTATGTTGCCCTGGCTGGAGTGCAGGGGCATGATCATAGCTCACTGTAATCTCAAACGTCTGGGCTCAAGCAATTCTCCTGCCTCAGCTCCTCTAGTAGCTAGGACTACAGGTGCACTGCTAATTGTTTTGTCTTTTGTAGAGATAGGATCTCACTATGTTGCCCAGGCTGGTCTAAAACTCCTGGCCTCAAGTGATCCTCCCAAAGTGCTGGGATTACAGACATGAGCCACTGCACCTGGCCAGAAAAAGTGTCATCCTTCTCCATGAGCAATGATGGGCTTCATTTGTGATGTTTTGTACAGTTATTATGAGCCAAGAAGATAAACAGTAGAGCTACTCAAGGTGATGATGTTTATTCTAAAAAGAGTGGTGAAAATTCTGTTCTAAAGAGTTTGCATAGTACCTAAAGGTAAATTATTAAAATAATATATTTTTAAAATTACCAATGAAATATTAGTATTATTCTATAAAAATAAGTTAAAATATTATTTACTTTTATGGAGATAATGAATATGTTAATTATGTGATTGTGGTGATGATTTCATAGGTATCCACATGTATCAACACTTACCAAATTGTACATTTAAAATCTATTGCTTAAACCAAGCAGATCACATTAAATAATTTCTTATTTATTTATTTATTTATTTATTTTAAGCAGAAGTCTCACTCTTTTCCCAGGGTAGAGTGCTGTGGCATCAGCTTAGCTCACAGTAACTTTAAACTCCTGGGCTCAAGCGATCTTCTGTCTCAGCCTCCCAAGTAGCTGGGACTACAGGCATGGCGCCCCAATGCCAAGGCTCACTTTTCTATATACTTCTTTAGTTGGCCAATTAATTTCTTTTTATTTATAGTGAGGATGGGGTCTCACTCTTTGCTCAGGCTGGTTCGAACTCCTGACCATTGAGTGATCTGCTCGCCTCGGCCTCCCAGCGTGCTAGGATTACAGGTGTGAGCTACCACGCCCGGCCAATTTTCTATTTTAAATACATGATCTTTTCTTTTTTCAATATAATGAGTCATTATCATTTTTGTACTGACTAATACATTCATTTTTATGAGGAAAAAGAAGTTATTTAATAATCTATGTGTCTACAGCATGTTACTCTAAAGACATCATGATTAAAAGCCACAATTGGCTTATCTTTTAAAAAACTGTAGTGCTAGCTTATTTAGTTCATTACTGGTTATTTCTAAAAGCTGAACAGCTGTGAGATATGAAATTCTGAGTGAGTTTGTATTAAAAGCCATCCTTGGAATCAAGCCAATTATTATTTGCAGCACTACATTTGCCAGAATTATGCCATTCTCATTTGGCATTGAAAAAATTCAAGGTCTTTGGTGAAAATTGAATACATACATATTTGCTATCTCAGATTAGCCCATTTTAGTCTCTTAGGACTTCTTACCTCTGTTCATCAACATATCATCAGTCATTCCAAACATGCTGTACAGGATCGCTCGAAATGTATTACGGTCCAGTCCAATGTTATCAAATTTTCCATCAGTTCTGCCCACCAAGTGGTGAAAAAGTCTTATGAGACACTCTATTTCACTTTTTTTAACTGTAAAATAAAAAGACAAGTAAATACAACTTAGCTTTAATAATTGAGTTATTCAACCCAATTAAATACATTTTATTAAGCAGCTATTTTGTTTCTATGATGCTAGGTGCCCTGATGATAGGGAAAAAATATGATATGGACTTGTTCCTTAGCTTACACAGTGAAGGTGGGCCTCACTCAGAAGTCTCATAGGACAGTATATAACTGCTAAATTATGCGATATAATGCTCACTACCATAGACACGTGAAGAGAAATCAGTATGGGAAAGATGAGTTTGGACATTTTCATGGGAGAAGTAGACTTTGAACTGGGCCTTGAAGGATGCAGACATTTATATAGGAAGGAATGTGTTGAGTGTGCTAAAGAAGTAAAGAATTCTAGAGAAAGGGGACAACATGAGTAAAGGAAAGAGATAGAATTAGGGTTGGGGTTGAACACGCTTCATTGAGAGCTAACAAGGAGTTGGGAAGAAGTGAACAATGAGGTTGATGGTAGAAGGTCTTGAATGCCTGGTCAGAGAATTAACATTTATTGTAATGGAGCAGCATTTCTCATGGTGTCATTTTTGGACCATCTGCACAAGGATCAACCTCCTCTCCACTGCCCCATGTTTGTTAAATGTGCAGATTCCCAGGGCTTTCCTCAGATCTGCTAAGCCAAAATTGCTAACAAGGGGCCCAATTAGAATTTAAGCAAGAGCTCAGTTCATTCTTCCATGCCCTAGAGATTGAGAATCTTTGGGTTAAGCCATTGAAGATTTTGGACCAGGGTAGGGTCATAACAGTAAAAATAGTTTAGGGAAATCCATTTGGTGAAGTTGTATTGAAGGAGGAAAAGCTGGAATTATGGAAGCTGGGCTTGGAGGAATAGGACTTGGGCTAGAGAGGTGGAAATGTATTATAACAGAGGTAATGTCTTACTGGCTGTCTCTTTAAAATCCCTTCACCCTTTTTTGGGAATTAAAACCTGGGTTTCTGCCTGAGACTAGTAATCAGAGGGGCAAGGGAGTGTTCTTTGTTTTTTTTTGTACCACAGCAAATGGCCCAAGGGAATTGTCAGGGCAGAGGTCACAAGATGGTCTTCACCAGAGATGTTATTGTTAAACAGCAATAGCTGAAAGCTGAAAACTCATTTTACTTGTTTTTATTATATTTTATTTTTTTGAGACAGAGTCTCAATTTGTTGCCTGGGCTAGAGTGCCGTGGAGTCAGCCTAGCTCACAGCAACCTCAAACTCCTGGGCTCAAGCAACCCTTCTGCCTCAGCCTCCTGAGTAGCTGGGACTACAGGCATGAGCCACCATGCCTGGCTAATTTTTTATTTTTTTTAATTTTTAGTTGGCCAATTTATTTCCTTCTATTTTTAGTAGAGACGGGGTCTCACTCTTCCTCAGGCTGGTTTTGAACTCCTGACCTTGATTGATCCTCCCGCCTCGGCCTCCCAGAGTGCTAGGATTACAGTGAGCCACCGTGCCTGGCCTGAAAACTCCTTTTAAAAACTCTGTATTTCTGCTTACAGAGAGGACACTGGTCCTTTAAGAGGAGAGTCTGCCATCCTACTTATTTGTGGGCAAATTAATAAACTCTTTCCTTTTCCTCAAACTGCTTGTCCTTGTTAGGCCATGAGGACAAGTACCAAATTTTCAGTAACAGAAATAAGGACAGAAAACTGGGGAGGGAGCCTGAGATACTACAAAAAATCAGTAAGACTTTGTGTCTGATCAGATCTGCAGTTTTCAAACTGAGACTTTTTAATATTCACATATCTGGCTCTCACTCTAGACTCAATAAAATGCTACTTTGAAGAAGTGCAGGCCGGGCACAGTGGTTCACACCTGTAATCCTAGCACTCTGGGAGGCCGAGGTGATCGGATTGCTCGAGGTCAGGAGTTCGAAACCAGCCTGAGCAAGAGCGAGACCCCATCTCTACTATAAATAAAGAAATTAATTGGCCAACTAATATATTTAGAAAAAATTAGTTGGGCATAGTGGCACATGCCTGTAGTCCCAGTTACTCGGGAGGCTGAGGCAGTAGGATCGCTTGAGCCCAGGAGTTTGAGGTTGCTGTGAGCTAGGCTGACGCCATGGCACTCACTCTAGCCTGGGCAGCAAAGCAACACTCTGTCTCAAAAAAAAAAGAAAAAAGGAAGTGCACAGATGACTCTGATGCACTGTCAGGACAGAACCAAGGGGTTAGACTTAGTGGGTTAGGGGCACTAGACTTAAGCAGCTGGGTTCCACTTTGATTTCTTATCCTAAAGATCCAAGTCATACAGCTTCTTTATGCCTCAGTGTCCTCACCTATAAAACTTGGGTTTTATCCTGGATGATCTCTGGGATTCCTTCAGTCTCTGAAAGTCTAATTCTATGAATCAAAGATTACTTGAAAGAACTAGAAGGGGTTAGGAGAGAAATCTAGTTACTATTTTTTCTCTCTTCCTTCTTCCTTTCCTCCCTTCCTTCCTTGTCTTTTTCTTTTTCTCTTTTTCAGCAGGGAAGGTGGGGAGATAGAATTATTTTAGATGCTGTTTTTGAGATGATTTCAGGTTACCAAGTGAAATGAATGACAACACATAGAAAACAGGCTGCTGTGGTCCACGGAGTGACTTGATTCTTAGGGTGGTGATTGACAATCTAAAGAATAAGCAAATATGAAGGTGCCTAATACTATTTTATGATTAAATTAGATTGTCTGGTTCCTTGCTTCATATATTAATAATTTCACACTGTAACTATGAAGCCCTGAAATAAAATGTAAAGGTCATATTTATTTATCCATTAAGCATCAAGGGCCTCCCATGGACCAGGCAATGAAGACACCATGGTTCCTGCCCTCAATGGTATTACACTCTGGTCAAGAGATAATGAAAGAAGTGGAATAAAGTGTGTTACAAGCTCTAAGATTGATACTGTTTGGCTGTGACCCAAAGGAAGGAATAATAATCAATTTGTGAGGAGGCAGTAAGAGATTAAAAAGGGTCCCAATGAAGAGGTGTCACTTAAGCTAAGGCCTCTCAAAGGAGCAGGCAATTTACCAGAGGCAGCCTGAATGCATGGAAGCATGTTCTGAGAGCTGTGAGTGGTTTGGTGTAGCCAGATGGCAGACTTGTTTGATTTTACATACAATGGGGAGGTTACTGAAAAATTTTGGCTGGCAAGTTATCAGATTTCCATTAAAGGAAAAGTACCTTGGCAGAAGATTCTTCAAACTACTTTATGAATGACGAACCCTGATGTGGCGGCTTATATTTCCCTAAAGACAATCATAACAATGTATTCCATTGAACATGCTCTTTCCATGTGACTTTGATATTCCTCCCCTTAAAACTAGGGGATTTTTGTGACTGTTTTAACCAATAGACTACAGTCTGAAAGTGAAGCTTCTGTGACTTACAAGGCTAGGTCATACAATGGATGCTGCTGCTCTGAGGACCAAAACTGGGAAAGTCTTCTTTTCTTGCTTGGAATATGAAGAAAAAAGGGAAGCTCAGGTGTGTGGGGGTGGGTGCACTGTATGGAGGATATAGTGTATGTTTGCCTGCAAGTAACCCTGTTCAACTCTGGTGGAAAGTTATCACCTGAGCAGAAATGTTAGCACCAGCAGTGGTGTGAAAATGGAAGGCTGAGAAGAGAGGTTGTTAAGATTAAGTCAGGGGACGTTCTCAGAGTAAAATGTCGACAAGTCTTCCAACAAAGCAATCGAGGACTTTAGATACAATCTTCAGCAGGTAGTAATCTAACTTGTTTTATCAATGTAGTTCACATTTCATTATACCTAAAGACCTTACACATATGGTCAAGAAACCAATGTTAATTGGAGAAACTATGGGTCATTAGAGAATGGTGTTGAGATGCTGGAAGATTGGCCCATGTTTTTAGTTTGGCATAATTTTTACAATAATTTTGATATAACATTTAGTTTAGAAAACTTTTTAGTTTGGAGTAGTTTTAGATTTACATAAGAGATGCAAAGAGAGTACAAATAGTTCCTGTACACTCTTCACTCAGTTTCTCCCTGAAGTTAACATCTTACATAACCATGGTAATTTGTCAAAGCTGGTACATTACCACCACCCCATTACTAACTAAACAATAGACTCTAATTTGATTTCAGCAGTTTTCCCACTAGACTTTTTTCCGGTTCCAGGTTCCAATCCAGGACCCACTTGGTTGTCATGTCTCCTCCCGTCTGTGATTATCTTCAGTCTTTCCTTGCTTTTTGTGACCATGACAATTTTAAATTTATTTTGTAGAATATTTATCAATGTAAGCCTGCTTTTCTCTTAATTCGACTGTGGCTGCACGTTCTGGGGAACATTACCACAGAGGTACAGTACTGTTCTCATCACGTATCAGCAGATACATGTCATCATATCTATCACTGTTGATGTTAACCTTAATCATTTGGTTAAGCTAGTCTGCCAGGTCTCTCCACTATAGTTACTTTTTCCTTTCCATAATTTTTGAAGCTAGTCTCTAAAGAAGGGAATTAAGCTCCACTTCCTGGGAAGTGGTAACTATATCATTATTCAGAATACTCTAAGGAAGATTTTTCTCTTTTCCATTTATTAATTTATTCATTGTATCAATAGGAAGTTACATATAGTGGGGCCTGTGGGGCATAGTCAGGTCTAGCGTCCTTATAAAATGAGACTGTAAAATTAGTTTCTCCTAGTATGTGAGAACACAGCAAGAAGGTGCCATCTATGAGCCAGAAAGCAGGCCCTCATCAGACATTGAATTTGCCTTAACCCTTGGACTTCCCAGCACTCAGAACTGAGAAATAACTTTTTATTGTTCATAAATCATTTAGTCTATGGTATTTTGTCACAGCAGCCCGAATGGACTAAGACACATACCAACATTGTTACTTTGTTGCTCAAATTATTCCAGCTTTGGCCACTGGGAATTTTGGAGTTGATTCCTCTCTTTTTAACATACTCCCATCTTTTTACTTTTCAAACACTTCTTTGCTTTCTGGCACTACAAATGTTCCAAGTTCATCTTGTATTATCCCCTTTCAGCTTTCCTCAAGGAGTCATTTTCTTTTCTAATTGGAGAATGGTATTTAGAAACTAAGGTTTGAGTACTGGTGTGCTTGTTGCTACTGGGGTGTTACTACTTCTAAGCCCTCTCAGCAGACATAATTAGGAAACAAGTTTGTATACTAACCTACCTATGGGCACATATTGGCCCATATTATTGTGTTTCACAAAGAAAATGAATACCAAATATTAGACTAGTGGGCATGGAGGTGGTCCCGGTCTAAGAACCAGAAGAGATGATTAACTGTATTAAAAACTCATGAATACTACTATTAAGTGGTTTCCCAAGAAAGGAAAAACAAGCACCGCATATACTCACCAGCAAATTGGTATTAACTGAGCAGCACCTAAGTGGACACATAGGTACTACAGTAATAGGGTATTGGGCAGGTGGGAGGGGGACGGGTATATACATATATAATGAGTGAGATGTGCACCATCTGGGGGATGGTCATGCTGGAGACTCAGACTTGTGGGGGGAGGGTGGGAAATGGGCATTTATCGAAACCTTAAAATCTGTACCCCCATAATATGCCAAAACAAACAAACAAAAAAACAAAAACAACTCATGAATACCAAGTGTCTGTAGATTCACAATGGCAAATAATATTAGACTTAACTTTTTCTCTACTTCTTGTAGGAGTGAAGCAGAGATACAGTTCATAATGTATTTAGATTTTTAGTGAAGCATCTGACAAAATCTTACTGATAATATAGATTAAAATTCTTATAGATAATATGTAAAAATGCAGGCTGGTAAATTATAGACAAACACAGCTGATTGTGCACTTTTATTCAAAAGATGCTGTTTAACACATTAACATAAACTTAATATCCAGTACCGTCTAGTACAATGGTAGGCTCTCAATACAGTCATGCGCTGTATAATGATGTTTTGGTCAATGATGGTCTGCATGTAGGATGGTAGTTCTCTAAGATTATAATACCATATTTTTACTGAACCTTTTTTTATGTGTAGATACACAAATACTTACCAATGTGTTACAATTACCTAGAGTATTCAGTACAATAACATGCTGTATTGATTTGCAGCCTTGGAGCAAGAGGCTATAGTACCACCTAGGTTTATGTTAAGCACACTCTGTGATGTTTGCTTAACAAAATGATCAATTGAATCAAACAACATGAAATTATTAGGAATTGTTTTAAAACTCTCCACTTACTTCAGTGTGTCTAAGAATACCTGGAGTGAAAAATTTGGATACTTGGCCCCACTTCCAGAACTTTTAAAAACACATCTAGAGGGTAACCCAGGCATCTACATTTTCAACACAAACCTTTAGGTGATTTTGATGGTGGAGATACTCCTATCATGCTTTGAATAAGAAGTAAATAGCCAGGGTCAACTATAGAATTTGTGGGACCAGTACAAAATGAACATGCAGGTCCCTTGTTCAAAAATTACTAAGTCAGTGATAGCAGACCATTAAATTGTGGGGCCCTGTGAGAACACATAGCCTGTACAACCACGAAGCCAGTTATTACACCCTTAGGTAATTATTTGCCTGCCTCCCCCACTGGATTAAAGGTCTATTATTTGGAAAAGGAACTAAATTTATTTATGTGACTCTAGAGCAGCACCATCCAATAGAACTTTCTGAAATGCTAAAAATGCTTTATACCCGTGCTGTCCAATTTGGTAGCCATCACCAACATGTGGTTATTGAGCCCCAAAAAGTGACTAGTATGACCAAGAAAATGGAATTTTAAATTTAACATACATTTAAATAGTCACACATAACTACTCATGGTTACCTTATTCAACAATTGTGCTCTAGAGGTCCAAGTTATACTAACTCTAGAATATAAAACATTCTAATCGGAAAAAAAAAAAAAAAGAAAGAAACAGCTGTTTGGGAGGGTGATGAATTTCCTTCATGAGGCCACTGAAGGTACCCAGCTTTCTGCGGGTTTGAGAATCATGTAGGGGCAGCTGTTTGGACTAGAAGGAGCCCTATGATCATGAGGCCTAGCAAATAATGAAGGTTCCCTCCTAAGAAGTTCTAAATCAAAGCCCAGGAAAAACCACTGCAACTTTGTGCCACATGGGACATTTAGAACTTTGAAGCCAGGCATGGTGACTCATGCCGGTAATCACAGCACTCTGGGAGGAGGAGGCGGGAGGATAGTTTGAACTCAGGAATTCCAGACCAGCCTGATCAAGAGCAAGAGCCGTCTCTACTAAAATTAGAAAAATTAGCCAGGTGTCATGACATGTGCCCATAGTCCTAGCTACTCAGGTGGCTGAGGCAAGAGGATCACTTGAACCCAGGAGTTTGAGGTTGCAGTGAGCTAAGACGATGCCACAGCACTCTCCCCAGGGCGACAGAGCAAGACTTTGTCTCAAAAACCAAACCAAACCAAACTTCGTACACCAAGAGAAATAAGATAGTCCCTTCCTGAGAAGGTCAAGGCAACACTAGTTCTGTGAGCTCTCCCCACTAACCATTAAGAACCAAATTCCAGTCATAAGGCCAGTCTATCATGGTCTCAACTTAGAAAGACCCAGTTACTGAGCTAAATTCAACAAATTTTCACTGTGTACTTACTCTATGAGAGCACTATATAGGCTAGACCGTGAGGGCTGTCTATAATGCTGACCAGTAAGATTGATTTGAGAAATAAAAGGTATTATTTGAATGCAGACTCAGGCATCACACTACTAAAATAAAGTATCTTCCTCAATGACTAAACACATTCTTTAAAAATTCAGTCAGGATTACTTGTGGTCATGTCTGAGAAAACTTACTGGTTAAGGTCTTTTAGTGAAAAATTTTTTTAAAAATCTGTTAAATCTGATTAGCTTTAACAAACACTTGCCATGCTACTTTTTCAAGATCTAAGGTACCTTATATATCTCTACTGATACCCTGAAGTAGAGCAATCATCTGCCACTATGGGTTTGTGCCAGAAAACTCAGGGAACTGATCAAAGTAAACCTTTATAACTTACAAAATCTTATTAAATTTCAATTTCAGAGTATAATAAAATCAGTCCTTGGTTGGCAGATAATCCTTTAGCATTTATGATGTCATATAAATTCTCAAGCTAATCTTCCCACATAGCCAAACATATGTTAGGATACTTGGATGACTAAAATATTTTCTGTCTCAGTACAGGCATAATTGTTCACTTGCTTATCTATTTTTAAAATAATCAAAATATGAGATATAAAAGAAGGACTCTATTTTAAGGTTACAAAGCACTTGTTAATAATGTTCAACTAGAATGCCTACCAACCTTTCTACTGACTGAATTAAGATGTTCAGGCAGTTACCTAAGAGGCTGAGGAGGGAGGACAGCTTGATCTCAGGAGTTCAAGACCAGCCTGAGCAACATAGTGAGACTCTGTCTCTTAAAAAAAAAAAAAAGTTTAGACAGTATTGTAAATCTGGTCAGTACTTACAGCTCTTGACAGCTTTACTGATGGATTCTACCAGTTTCTTCAGAGCCTTCTGGTCCATGTTGAGTATGGCTTCAACACACAGCAGACTTCCCAGATAGCCTAGCTCCAAGCCTAGGTATCATGAGCTAACACTGATTCCACAGTTCATTACTCCAACCCCAACACAGAATGTAACCATGGTAACACCGGAGCAACCAAACACAGAAGGTTCTCAAGTAACTGGAAAAATATGCAACAATGGTTGCTATCACTCAGTACAGATACAGTAATCTCATTAAAGTTATTGTGATCTGAAACTTTATATCAATTCCAATATTTATCTCTTCTTTGGGGCTAAATACTACTTAAAGTGGTGTTTGATATCATTGCCATTTATATTCTGTTGGCACAAATTCTACAGGTGAAAACATTCAAATACATAATAACTAAATAAGATCATAAAGACTTTATTCTTTGAATTGAAATAATTTCCCAGGCTATAAACAGCTTCCTCAAATGTTATAATCTCCTATATACTATAACAAGAACTCTTTCATGATATCCAAAAAGAGGCTTCATTCTGGGAGCTTACTCACTTTTACTCCTCCAATTCAGACCTGACTGACTGGAAGCAAAACATGATGTGACTATGCCAAAGCTGGCCAAAATGTCAACTGTTCTCTTTTTTTTTTTTGAGACAGAGTCTCACTCTGTTGCCCCAGCTAGAGTGCTATGGTAATCAGCCTAGCTCACAGCAACCTCAAACTCTTGGGCTCAAGCGATCCTCCTGCCTCAGTCTCCTGAGTAGCTGGGACTACAGGCATGCGCCACCATGCCCAGCTAATTTTTTCTAGTTTTGGTAGAGACAGGGGTCTCGCTCTTGCTCAGGCTAGTCTCGAACTCCTGAGCTCAAACAATCCTCCCGCCTTGGCATCCCAGAGTGCTAGGATTACAGGCGTGAGCCACCGCGCCTGGCCTCTAACTCTTGTCTATTGCAAAATCACAGCAGAGAAATCATTTTCTATTCTATGTCTGTTGGCAAGAAAGGGCACTAATATAATTTTTAGAATTTAGGATACCATATTCTTACTAAGTGTTTAATAAAATATAAAAATAAGGCAAATACAATTGAAAAGATAAAAAAAAGCTTCCCCCCCAAACATTTCTTAAAGAAATACCAGATGAGTGTTCATATACTTTAAGTAAAAAAAAAGTGGCAATTTTCTTTTAAAGCATGTAACCAGTCACTTAAGTGTGAATAGCTGTTCTTACTTGGTTTCCCTGAGGCTAGTATATGGCTCCCCATAAAATGACAGAAAATTAAACAACAGGTTTTGAAAACATCTTGAATGAAGGAATATGAACCTGTAACTTAGTTAAAATAAATTCAAGACTCTCTTATGGTACTTAAAACACCTAAATATATGAAGGGTAACCGAAGGAATCCAAAACAACCACCAAGGTAGTACTGGTATAAAGCCAATTTTTCTATCCAGACAACTCATCAATTTCTGGCAATTATCCCAGCATCATTATCCAAATAACATGCTTTGTGTTTATAAAATTGGTATAGAGTTACTCAAGAAAAAGGGTGGTTTGGTGAAGGGAGGAAGAGATGTTATTAACTTGCACACTGTAATTATTTTGGAATTAACATAATTGATAATATTACCCTGTCAAATTTTCTTTCCATATCTCATTAGAAGACTGGAAAAGCTGCCATCAGAGAAATAATGAAAAAGGTGTTGCCCAGATAGTCAACAGTCAGGAAAGAATATAATTTTTTGCCAAATCACACTTTTCTTCAGTCTAAAAAAATGAACAGTTGCTTTCTCATGGGATATAACTGTCATATACTAGACTAGTCTGTAAAGCTACACTTCTATGTTCATAGCAAAACTGATCAAAAAATACCTGATAGACTTAATTTTAGCATTTTCATGAACAATAATTCTGAGAAACTTTCTTTGGATACAAAATGCCCTGCAAATTTTCTGTGTATTCAAGAGCATATAAATATCTTTTATGAGGAAATAGTATGCAGCTTTAAGCAAAAAATTTAAAGAAACATACCAAGAAATGTGTTCTCTTTACAACTAAAATCTTAGGAATATGTCTTATCTACCTACTATTTAATACCCAGGAGTGTTTCTTATCTTTATAACTTTACTTGGGACATATAGGGAGCTTATAAGAACACAGCTATTTTTAAGTAAAATAGCTATTTATTCAGCCTGTTGTCATGCCAACATGTTCTGTGTATATACCACTACAATTAGTACACCCTCTGTAACAGGCAAAATTGTACATCAAATTATATTTTGTGTTACCTGATTATATAAAATTGTAAAATGAAAATGACTTATCAATTCTTTTTAACATTCCTAGTAAACAATTCAGCAGAAGATATGAGGCACAAAATCTTAGTAAAATATGACATAGGCAGAGCAATAATGTGACTCTCACTTAAATTTAACTTGTCATAATTACTTATTAATATACAAAGACAACAAACGTTTAAAACATTGTATTTACTAAGATTCTGGCAACAGCTTTATATAACAAGATACAGCATACCATGCCTGCCACTCAACTTGTTTATACTCAACTTACCACTCAACTTGGTAAGTCTCAGCTTCAATATGAAGCTGTTAAAAAAAAAAAAAAAATCAAAACCCTGCTTTTTACATGCTAAATAATATCTTGGCAAGTATGCTGTTAAACATAGCAATGAACTTAAAACAGTAAAGTAAGGAATTAACAAAAGCTAAACATTGCAGCCTAAACAAAATTCATACAAAAAATAAACTATCACTGGTTACATAAAATTGTCCTGACTGGTTAAAACTTAACAGTATAAAACATGCATTTTAGAATCTTTAGCTATCAAGTTCAAAAAGTACCAGTGTCTATTTGAAACGATTCCTCTCCAAAGCCAAAGTATAATCAAAATGAATTCAAATGACATAACACATTCTAGTGCTGAAAAATATTCAGTATTATTGAAGTGGAGGTAAATCCCAGAGCTTCTAGGGCTTTCTCATGCTGCAAAGGGCTGTTTCTCTGATTCACTCAAAGCAGCATACAATAGACTCCAAGGATGTCACTAAGCCCGGTAAAGGGCAAGACTGCTGGTATCCAACTCTGACCTCCCCATAAAACATGGCTACTGTGTCCACAAACATAGGATGTGTGAGGATCAAAGGCACGCTATTCTGCTAGCTAAAGAGATAGCAAACCACCCCACCCCCCAAAGCTCCTTCCCCAAGTAAATAAAAAGTATATAAGGGGGAAAAATTAAAATACACTTATCTACAGAGTAAGGATTTTGAAATATCAATGTAATCCCTACTTTAAAAACTTTAACTAGAGTTATCTGGTCATTTCTGATTACATCTTAAAGATGTACCCAGATTTAATTTCTGTTGATTTATCATTAGAGATTTCTAGTCAAAAATATTAATTTTATCCCCAAATATCTTAACCACTAGTACAACTGCAGTATATTATCTCCCAGAGTTATCAAGCACTGGAAGAGAAAAAATAGATGTTCAAGCAACAGGCAGTAATTTTATGGCCTTTTCACACAGCGGAATCTGAGTGGCTACTGAATAGTCCAGGAATAATTCTAAAAACAAGAAAATTCATGCATTTTAGTAAATATGTCGTAATTTTCACAGTTGAAATTTCCTTAGACATTGCACTTTCATTTATAAGGGAATCCTGATTATTTTCTTAATGTTATGGTGAATCAGGACTTGAACTAGCAGCCTTCTTTTTCTTCTTCTTACTGTGTTTCTTATGTTTCTTTTTCTTTTTTGTTTTTTCCTGTAAAGACAATTCTATGTTAGACATTACCACATGAAACCACATAAATTAAAAATATATTTACCATGGTACTTGTAAGCTACTAAATAGCTATTTCAAACAATGCATACAACCAAGTAAATTACTCAAAACATTTCTCAAAAAAGTCTCAAAACTAGTATCAACTATCAAAACTAGTATCAAGACTAAGAGAGTTCTTGTTGATTTTCAAAAAGATAGGGAAAAACTTGTTAGCATATCATAGCTTCTAATAAAATTTCCTGCAGAAAATAAATTCAATTGAATCATGCTACCAATTGGTATATTTTTATTATTATTTCTTCTTTAAAAAAATTTTTTTCATTCCCACCCCTCCCCGTGATATTTTGTTATATTATTTCTAAAGGTAAAGTAATTGCAGTTACTGTAAAGGAGTAACTACAGCAAAATATAATTGTTTTTATAAAATGACAGTTTTCAGAGAGAACAGAAATATTAAATGCATTTATTTAGGAGATAAGAGTCTCGCTATGTTATCCAAAAATCTACTATTTTTAAGTAAACAGAAACACAGATATTGTATACTGCTCAGACTGACAGCATTACTTTAATTATCAAATTAACATCAACTAATTAGTACAAAATATCGATGTATAATTGAAAAGTCTATTTTGCTAAGTAAAAAAAGATGCTTGATTTTTAGAGGAAAATACCACTGAAGCCTAGTAAAAGTAGTTAAATTATGAGTGGATAAAAGGGACCTGGAGTTTTGTTGAACTTTGTCTCTTATGACTGTTTCTGTTATAGAAGGCAGAACTTTTAGAATCACAGGAATTGGAAAGGTGGTTCCAAATGAGAACTACTGCCAGTGCTGATATTCAGGAGAAGAAAATGAAAAGCAAGAGAGGAGAGGAGACATATAAGGGTGGTAACAGCAGAGCCACCCATCTGTTAGGACTATCTACAACCTCTTCTCTCTCTCAAACACCTCTACCGCTTTACGGTACTCAGCTTTCATCTTTTTCATTCTTTTTTCAGTACATGCTTAATACATAGGGAATTTTACAAAAAGTTCAAAATCTTATAATTTGGGCTTTTAAATTAAGTTTTGGGTATAGGCTACTTTCATAAAAGGACAGCTGAACACTCTCTTCTTAAAATACTTTCCTTCTTAGCTTCTGTGGCACTTTATTCTGCTGTTTTTCTTCTATCACAAATACCTCTTTCATTTTCTTTACTGGCTCTTCTTCCTCTGCTCAACTTTTCCAGGCTTTCTGCCCTTCTCTGACACATGCTCTCTCAGTCACACACTTTGAATGCCCAAAACTTTATATCTAGTCTTATTCTTTGACCTCAGGATTAAAAGTGCCTCCTTAACAGCTTTACCTGAATGTTTAATAGGATATCTAAAATTATCATAACAGAATGCTTTATTTTTCTCTCCAAATCCTCTTAACCATCTTAGTATAAATGGCACCACTAATTTGTCATTTTGCCTAAGTCAGAGAATCTAAGCCATCTTTGATTTTACTCTTTGCTTTAACTCCACTCTACATCCAGAGCACCAAGCAAGTCCTAGTGTCTAAGTCCAAAACACATCTCAAATCCTTCCATGCCAGTTCAACTCAATTACTACCACTACAGTAAAAACATCATTCCTCATTCGTGTTCATTTATCTCCTGGCCAAAGCATTTTAAAAAGTAAAATATTTAGGTCACCTTTAAAAAAAACATCAAAACAGCTTTTCATAACATTCAGATTAAAACTCAAACACTCTGCTATGTGCTAAGGCCTCTGCCTACTTCCCACTCTAATCATGTGCTATTCCTCTTTACCTACCAGGCATAGGCCACACTTTTCTCAGTTCCTCAACATATCACACTAAGTCCCACTATAGGTCTTAGCTCTTCTCTT